CTGCCCGCGCCCAGACGCCGGCCTGCCGGGGGCCGGTGCGGGGCCGGGCGGCCGCGGGCCGCGCGAGGCGTGGCACGCGTCTGCCGGCTGGGGCGCTACCCCAGGAGCCTGGGGCGAGGCGGGGAGCAGCCGGGTCCCGTCGGAGGCGGTGGCAGCCGAGCTCGGCCCGGTCGGCGGAAGCATCCAGGACTCGGGGGCGGCGCGCGCAGGGGCTGGGCCATGCGCGGGCGGCGCGTCTGGGGACCCGCGGCCCGAGGCCGCTTTATCCCGAGCCCGAGGTGTGAAGCGGCCCCTTTCAGGCCGCATCAGCACATCGCAAAGCCTTGCCGGATTTGCCCGGGACAGATTCCTCACAGTGCACACCCCACCCTACCCCACCAAGGAAGGGCCCACCCAGTGCCAGCCTGCCTCAGAAGAGAAATGGTTCACTGGTCTCCCCACCTTTAGAAGGAGTCAGGGCCCCGCTCCCGGTCCCTACTCTATTCCACACTCCAGGATGACGCATGCCCCGAGACTTTCCTTATACAAATTGGAAACTAAGGTGCAAGAAAATTAAGAATTTGCATAAAGTCCCCAACAGGTGAAGGTGGACCCCAAACCTATATTTGACCTCCGCTTCCTTTAACCTGCAGGGCGGGCCACGAGGGGCAGGCGGGAGGCCGGAGCGGCTGGCTCGGGCGCCCAAGCGAGCGCCCAGGTGGGGCGAAGCAGGAGCAGCCAAGGGGCTGGCACCTTCGCCCCCTTTGATTCAAAGCGTCAGGCCTCGTCCTCTGCAGGCCCCGAGCCCGCTTTGATGTGCTGATGCGGCCTGGAAGGGGCCACTTCACACCTCGGGCTCGGGATAAAGCGGCCTCGGGCCGCGGGTCCCCAGACGCGCCGCCGCCGTCATGGCCCAGCCCCTGCGCGCGCCGCCCCCCGAGTCCTGGATGCTCTCCGCCGACCGGGGCCGAGCTCGGCTGCCACCGCCCTCCGACGGGGACCCCGGCTGCTCCCCCGCCTCATCCCCAGGCTCCTGGGGTAGCGCCCCAGCCGGCAGACGCGTGCCCAGCCTCGCGCGGCCCGCGGCCCGCCCGGGCCCCCGCAGCCCGGCCCCAGGCAGGCGCTGCCGTCTGGGCGGCGGGCAGCGGCAGAGCGCCAGCGAGCGCGAGAAGCTGCGCATGCGCACGCTCGCCCGCGCCCTGCACGAGCTGCGCCGCTTCCTGCCGCCGTCCGTGGCGCCCGCCGGCCAGAGCCTCACCAAGATCGAGACGCTGCGCCTGGCCATCCGCTACATCGGCCACCTGTCGGCCGTGCTGGGCCTCAGCGAGGAGAGCCTGCAGCGCCGGCGCCGGCGGCGCAGCGACGCGGCGTCCCCGCGGGGCTGCCCGCTGTGCCCCGACGGCGGCCCCGCGCGGGCGCAGGTGCAGGCGCAGGCGCAGGTACAGGTGCGCGGCCCGAGCCTGGGCTCAGCCGCCCGCGCCGGGGCGTCCTGGGGGTCTCCACTGGCCTTTCCTGGGGCCCAAGTCATGCCCGAGACGGGCGACCCGCTGGTGCTGTACGCAGAGGCGCCACGTCCCGAAGGGCAGGCGATGGAGCCCAGTCCCTGCTCTCCGGTTAGTGCCTCCTTCCCCATGCGGGGTGGCGCCCCTGCTGCCCGCCCCCTGGCCCACAGCCCCGCTGCCAGGACCGGCCACCCTGCCGCAGCCCTGCCGGCAGCCTGGTCTCAGCCTGGTCTCGCCTGCTCGCTCTACAGAGCAACGTAGTGTGCCCAGGGCGTCAAGCAACGAGGGGAGGGAGAGGCCACGCAGGGGACAGGGTCCAAAGGTCCCTTGAGAGTGGAGCCTGTAAGCGCGGACATGCCGTCCAGTGCTGAGGGCTACATACACTCTTCTCTCTCTCTCCTTGCAGCTCTTTTCTGGAGACGTGCTGGCCCTGTTAGAGACCTGGGTGCCCCTCTCGCCTCTGGAGTGGCTGCCTGCCTGAGGAACCCTTGTGACAACGGACAGCTGGTGCCCTGTCTGTGAACACTGAAGCTTTTGCGCTTCAGCACCTTCAAAATGGCTCCTCTCCAGACTGCCTGTCCTAGAAGATGCCACCAGTTTTACTGGCATGGACATTCCTACAGGTGACAGCCTATCCCCACCCAGGACAACCCTCTCCAGCCCCTCCCTGGATGGAGGGACCCATAAGGTAGACGCTTCGAAGCAGGCAGGAGTCTGTCTGTGCCTAGTGTGAATGTATTTATTTATGAATAAACAAACTGTGTCAGTTGGCAATTGCTTCTTCCTCTAGGTGGACACCTAGCTCCCTCTCTCCCCTCCAAAGAAGAATGCAGGGAGTTGAGAGTGGCTCTTGCAATCTTCAGTCCCCCAAACCCACAGGCCCAGGCCCCTTCCACCTTGCCCCCAGCCCTGGCTCTGCATCTCCTGTTCCAGACGGGTCAGCCTGGAAGGGCGGGATGGGGCCTTCCTAAGAGAAAGTGGCAGCAAGTAGAATCTGTTTCTCTTTTCTTTGAACTTGATGGGGAACTGGATAAAACCAAAATATCTCTGTAAAAAATACAATTCTATTGTTGAGTACTTTCTGTACATCAGGTACCTTACACATATTACACCCAAATAGTCATTTTACAGAAGAATAAAGATTTTTTTTAGCTCCTTTCATTCTGGGGCTTGAGGGGGAACCGGCTCCATAGGGTCATTTCACTATGTCCCGAGGCCTTACTACCCTTGTGCTGGAGCACCCTGGCCTGGGGCCCTGGGATTTTTCCCATCTCCCTTCTCTCTTCTCTCTGATTCCATCTCACATGGTTTAGGGGCATAAATGACATCAGTGGGACAGTCCCGAGTTCATATAACCATGACCTCCTAGAAGCCTAGCGAGGATGAGATGAGGGGTTGCATTCAGAGACACAGATGAGCTTCGAGCAGGCAGCTGCTGTGCTGCTATCTGCGCTGGCTGCCTTCAGACGCAGGCAGCACTGTATTGGGGAGGGAGCCTTGAGCCCAGAAAGAGCTGTGGTCTCACCGGCCATGGAGCAGTCAGGCTTGGAGGGGGGGCTGGGGTGGGGCGAGGGGGTGTGGTCTCTGCCAACCCTCTCCTTCACCTCCTATAGATACCCAGTTCTCTCCCCCCCCTCACGTGTCTGGAGTAAAGGCCTTGTGTGTTTTATAAGAGCTTTGCTGAAATAGAATTCACATACTATAAAATTCACCCTTTTAAGGTGTACAGTTCAATGGCTTTAGTATGTTCATAGAGTTGTGCAACCATTGCCACTAATTTTAGAACATTTTCACCCCCAAAAAGAAACCCTGCACCCATTAGCATCACTCCCCATTATTCCCTGCTCCCAGCCCCTGGCAACTAGTCATCTACTTTCTGTCTCTACAGTTTGCTTATTCTGGACATTTCATATAAAAGGAATCATAATGTATGGCCTTTTGTGTCTGGCTTCTTTCACTGAGCACGTTTTTAAGGTGCCTGTGTGTTGCCTCTTGTATCCGAACGCAATTCCTCTTTATTGCCCGTTAACATTCCACTGGACAGCAGTGATGGTGATGGGCTCGTTTCTAAAGCTCTTCTGAGCTCATTTCCAGTGCCCTGGCCCTGGCCAGGGAAGGGTGGTAATGCAAGTAGGGTGGGTCCCCAATCTGCAATTCAGGGGTCCCAGGGCACCCCTTAGCTGGCGTTTGGCTGCAGAGAGTGGATCCAAAATCTGAGGCCTGCGGGTGGTGGGATCTCACACCTCTGTCACCCCCCCTTCCTGCACCTCTGCCCCATCTCTCACTCCCCTCCCAGGACCCTAACTGGGGTAGGGTGGGAAGTCTGGAGCCAACCCAGCTTACAAAATCTATTTGCATGGCAAAGGCCCTGCGTTTTAGGCCGGGGAATTAAAGTTATTAGCAAGTCTTTTCACAGATAAGTGGGGCTCATTGGCCAGCCCCCTTCCCTGCAGAGGGCCTCTCCTCCCGCTCAAAGCAGGGAGCAGCCCACTGTTTATTAGCACCTGAGTGTGAATTTTCATTAACAGGTCCCTGCTAATAGCGGCTGAGACAGAAGATTGGAGATAGGAAGGTCGCCTCCTACCCCAGCCCCTCTTCCTGGCCCCATCCGAAGCCTGAGGAAAGCCCCTGCCCATCCACAGCGAGAACACCAGGGTCGAGGTAGGCAGGCACCTATGCCAGGTGGGAGGGGAGCCACTCTCCCCTCTGTTCTCAGCCCACTGATGAGGCGGCCCCAGTTACAGGGCCATTTGAAGAAGGGAGAGTTATAAGGAAGAGGCTAACTAAGGTGCCCATACAGATGCTAAGTGGCAGTGGTGGTCCTCAGCAGGCCTTGGCCTCTGCTCGCCCCATCAGCAGGGCCCTGCTGGGTCTGGGCCGGGTGGGAGTGACGGATTACGCACCGCAGCAACGTGGGAGTCTGGGAACAATATCGCTGTTTATTTGGGTGCATGTATGCCCACCTGAGGGCTCTGACAACAGGCTGAGCGGTTGAAGGTCCCCAGAAGAACACCCCCTTGCTGACTCTGCAGAGGTCCCAGGCGGCAAGTTCAGGCGTGAGCCGGGGCTCCTTGCGTGTCTCTTAGCCGCTGGGCGTCCTGAGGAGCAGCTGCCTGGTGGCTGCAACCTTTTCAGAGAGCCCAGGGCGGTGGTGGCATCACTTCCTGAAGTTCAGTTTTTGGAGAAACATGGAGTACCTCCGCAGCCGGACCCAGTGATCGTGCGCTTTCATCTGGTTCTTCTCCAGCTGCTGAAACCTAAGGGCCGCACAGCCAGTGAGGAGGGGAACCTGCCCCTCCCGCGCCCCGGGGCAGCCCTCGACCACCTGTGCCAACACAAGAAACTCTCGGACGACGCACCTGCTTCGCCTCTGTGTCCTCAGGACTCAGCCTGGCACACAGCAGGTGCCCAGAAGGCCTGTACCAAGGAATGCCAGGTCTGACGTTCTAACCCAGGAGGTGCACGCTGACAGACCGGGAGGGTGAAGTTTTTCCCCAGTTTACCGAGACAAGCTATGGGAGAGTGAACTGAGGAACTAAAAGTCCATTTGGGCCGGGCGCAGTGGCTGGAGCCTGTAGTCCTAGCACTCTGGGAGGCCGAGCCGGGCGGATCACTCGAGGTCAGGAGTTGAAACCAGCCTGAGCAAGAGCGAGACCCGTCTCTACTATAAATAGAAAGAAATTAATTGGCCACTAAATATATATAGAAAATTAGCCGGGCATGGTGGCGCATGCTTGTAGTCCCAGTACTTGGGAGGCTGAGGCAGGAGGATGCTTGAGCCCAGGAGTTAGAGGTTGCTTGAGCTAGGAGACGCCAGGCACTCACTCTAGCCCGGGCAACAAAGTGAGACTGTGTCTCAAAAAAAAAAGTCTATTTGCAAACACAGTGTGGTGGATACCTACCATGGACCACTGAGCCTCAAAAAGGATGGACACGTGCTGCGATATGGGCAAATCTTGAGGATTCCACTTTTATAAAGACGTTTGAGACGTGTCTTTCAAAAAGTAAGAGTTGTTTTTTAAAAACATAACAAATGAATGTACGTTCCCTACAGAACAACCCAAGAAGCCCGGAATCGGCGCAGACTGCGCGCAGAGACGGGCGTGCTTAGCCGGGCGGCTGTCGGCCTCCGTTCTGGAGACTTGTGGGTGCGGTGGGGGGCTGGCCTGGCGGCGGCTTTCTGCCTTGGGTGCTGGAGGGGACGGAATGCTGCGGAACACTCAGGGTAAACAGGAAGAGGAACACTTTGGGGGAGGAAGATGATGATTGTAGTTTTGTTTTGAGGCTCTGCACATGGGACATCTATGTGGAGATGAACATTTTTTTTTTAACTCACAAAAGTAATCTAGACACTGCTCCTTTTAAATAAAATCAAAGAACACAAGTGGGTACAAAATTAAATCTCCCTCTTACGTCAGATCCTTATTTTCTGTTCCCAGAGCAAGTAATTAACAGCTTCTTGTGTATTCTTTACAATTTTGACACAAACACACAAGCATAGACATGCACAGAATCTTTTGTTTAAACGTACACAGAAGTGTGCGACACACTGTCGTGCACCCTGCTCTCTTCACTTCAAACCTATCCTAGAAATCACTCCTGGGGGCGACACTCACAGATCTGCCTCCTCCTTTCCCCCCACGGACGACACTTAGGGCTTCCCGCCTTTTGCCAGGACGACCGGGGCCACACTGCGCGTCTTGGCATGCGGTCATCCGGGGAGGCGGCGGGTGGGAGGCAGAGCAGTGGTGTGCAGGTCAGACGCTCAGGCTTTACGCTCAAACTGCTTGTGCTCAGACCCTGCTCCTTCCCTCACAAGCTGGTGACCGTGGGTGGGTGATTCGACCTCTGTGAGCCTGGCTTTCTCCCTGTGCAGCGGGGACAGTAATACTGATAGGCAAGATCAGGCCCGCAAGGCACTCAGCACAGGGCCTGGCACACAGTAGGTGGTTAATAAAGGTTAATTATTACACTGCCGATGCTGCTGCTAAGTAAGTGGAAGTGAAACCGCAGGGTCACGCGTCGGAACAGCACGGCACCGGTGAGAGGCCATGCCGGAGGCAGCCGGATAGATGGAATGAGAACAAGTTTTAAAAGGAAGCCCAGAAATGAAACCATTCATGTGCTCAGAGAGAACACGGGTGATTTTTAAAATATAATGTTGGTGTGCAGAGGAGCTGTCTCTATGTATCTAGAAATAAATAACGGCCAGCCGGCACTGGGTGTGCCAGGCAACGTCCTATGAGGAGATGTGACCGTCACCCCATTTTACAGAGAAGGTCACCAGGGTTTGGCCCAGTCACACAGCTAGAGGGTGCCGGAGTCAGGTCTTACCCTGAACCCCTCTCTACCCTAACCCCTCGCCCCAGCAGCGGGACCGCGGAGCTTGCAGCCTGACTTTGAGGCTTTCTACAACCGGCCCTGACGAAGCCTGAGGGTGAAGAATCCCAGCTATGAGACACTGAAAACTTCTGTCCGGCTAGACGAGCTCGCACGCAAAAAGACTTCAAAGACGAACCAAGGAGAGTTATCTGCAACACACTGACAAAGAACTCTTAAAATCCAAAGAAAACAAGCACATCCATGGGGAAAGACCCAGGGTGAGTCACAGCAGAGATAGAAATGTATGACATGCATGACAAAAAGATGCTCAACCTCCCTAGTTTCCAAATGAAGATAATACTGAGCTGTGGCTCCTTGTCCCCGCCTAGCCAGCGTGGGACGGGGTGAGGCCGCGGGCGTCCTCACGCGGAGCCACAGGGCGAGTCTCAGGGGCAGCTCTGGGTGGACGCTCTCTGTTCAGACGTGCCCATCCCGCAACTTTCCAGTCCACCTCCAGAACTTGCCTTCCAGAAACATGAGGGCATACTCACCCACATGGCTGTGTACGGACGCTGGGATGGAACGGTGGGGCCAGACCGAGCCGTAGCCGAGTCTGCAGAGGGCGGAGGAGCAGAGGAGAGGAGACGCAGGGGTGGCCCGTGGACTGCGCTTCCCTGAGCCAGCTCCAGCTCTGGCTGTGGAGCTAGGAAGGTGTGTGCTATTGTTTGCTAACATGGGAACATGGTGACATTGTCCCATAATTAGGACAAGCCATCAGAGAGGAGGAGGCTGCCGACCAGATGAAAGAGAAGATAAGCAGAGGAAGCGAGGGCTCCCTGTCTTGGGGAAGGGGATGGGCTGGGACCTCAAATCCAGGGACAAGTATTAAATATTAGCCCCGGGCATGAGCAGGGCACCTGTTTCTCTGAGTCAGGGTGCAGGTGAGATATGGGGGTGGGACGTGACTCGGGTGACCCAAGGGAGAGGGCAGCAGGGGTGGTGGGAGATGGCTGTGTGTGGAGGGGACAGGTGGAGGCTGCGAGGGGCCCAGGCACAGCACCAGTCGCCTTTGCTGTGTGACCTCCTCTGACTGTGCTCGGCAGTGAGGAAGGACCAGGAGGATGGCTGGTTCATCTGAGGCTGGGGTTCATCTGAGGCACGGGGTTTTATGGGCACCCCCTGGTAAAAGCGCTCTAGGGAATCTGCGACACCCTGTCTCCACCATCAGCAAACACAGATTTCCCCTCCCACGATGGCACGACACACCGCTTTCTACCATTCCCTACTGTTCTGAAGCAAGGTACTGACAAAGTATGTGTGTGCAGTCTTCCGAAAAGACAAGTGCCCATCACAGGGTGGGGAGAAGATGTCACAGCTACCTGCCAGTCCCTGCACAGAGCCTTTGCAGGCAAACAGCCTGACTGTGTGCACAGCCGGGGTCTACGGAGCTATAATTTCAGGAGAGATCCATCCTTTTGCTTCTAAAGGAAGGCAAAGAAAGTCAAGATAGGCCCACAGTTTTGGTCAGAATACCATTCCTCACCCTCCTCCAACCTTTAGGAACATGTCACCTGGCGCCCACACAGGCCTTGCCTGCCCCCTGCCAGGGGAGCCGGGTGCTGTGTGGGTTTGGACTGGGGGTTCATCCCGAATCCCACGTTCTGGCAGGAAGCTGGGTGGGGAGAACCTGACTTTTGCTTGGCATTCTATGGGGAATATGGGGGGAAAATCTTTGTTTCTATTGCCTAGAGTCCTGAAAATTCTGTCTTGTGATCAAAAGTTTGACCCGGCCAGAGACATTGGACACTGAAGCAGACAAGAAGTCGAGCCAGAAGGAAATGGTCCCGCTGAGGCCTGGGCTGGAGGGGAGCAGAAGTCAGGCCCAGGCGGTGGCACATTTGGTGCTAACTGGCCTCCTTCCCAAGCCCTGAAGGCAGGCGTCTCACACCGGCTATTTACAAAAGTCCCAGTGTGGGTTTTGTGAAAACAGTTTGGACAGACTGTTGAAACTTTGGATCAATTGCCACATGAACTGCCTTACAGTTACACCTAGTTTTAGGGCCAATGGAATCTATTTCAGATATGGGAGTAAACAGAAAAAAAAAAAAGATTTTTAGAATCTCTGGGGCATATATGAATGTGTGTGATAAAACGAGGAGAGTCAAGTGTCAATGATAGGATCTAGATTGTAGGTACCTGGGGGTTTACTGAAATATTTTTCAAAGCTGCTGCATGTTTGGGGACTTTCATCACGAAATGTTGGGGAGCACTCTCTGGGAAAGCCCAGACATGACAACTTTGAGCAAGTGGAACAGGAAAAGCCTTCTTTAAATCGTAGTTGTTTCCCAGCCCAGCCCAGAGCTGGGCTGCCCCAGGGTGTACCATTCAGATAATATGATCAGGTCTAAGTAGAGGTTTCTGCAAGCCCAATCCCAGGACGACAAATCCCAGGACCCAGGGCCTGCCCTCAGCCACATGCTGTGTCCTGTGTCCCATCTCCCATCAGCTTTCCTGTTCCCCGGTGCTCCTCCCCGTCCCCGCCTATTCAGCCTCCAGCCCTGCTCCTGGCCCCCAGCGCCCCTTGTGGTCAGCCCTGCTGACTCACGCCCTCTTCCCTTGGGAGACAGTCCTCTGCACCCCACCCAGCTGCTGGGGGCCTTCCTCGGGAGGGGCTGGGGCTGGACCTCAGAGCTAAGCTGTGTTGACAAGCAGGGAGGCATCTGGGAAGGGGGAGGTGGAAGGGTCCCCCCCATTCTCTCTTCAGGGGCCAGGATGGGCCTCTGGTGTCCCGGAGCCTGGGGGAAGTCAGGGCAGAAAGGGTGGTCGTCTAATTCAAGTCGTTCCAGACACACAGTGAAGGAGATTATAGACATTCCCCCTACGGAATATTATGTGGGCACGAAAAACCATATTTACAAAGATGTTTTTCTCAAAATTAAAAAGTCTTCAAGTTATATTCTAGAATGACATAAATCCAGATAAAAAAGTGAATGTGAAACATGATCTCATTTTCTGACATGGCCAAGGGGAAAAACACGAAAAGGAAATGCACTGACTCAGTGGTGGCGGGGCTGGGGATTTTGGTGGTGGGATTATGCGTTATTTAAATTCTCTTTTTTTGTATTGCCCTGCTTTCCAAATTTCTATTAACATACAAGTGAATATATATTATAACTTATATTGGAAATAGCAAATATACTTTTTCACACTGGGAAATTACTGTGGAGGTAGTTCTATGCTTGAATCAACTTTCATGGGCTAAGCAGGGCTCAGCAGGTGTCTGAGGGCAGGTCCCCTTGGGCAAGGCTGAGAAACGTCAATTAGGCTGCAGCCAGGCGGGAGGTGAGCTGCCCAGAGCTGGAGCCACCGAACCTTGGCCCCTTCCCACAGGTGGGGCAGCCTGTTGGCCTTGGGTGACCTGGAAGGGCTCATCCTTTCTAGGCTAGTAAAAGGAGGGGGTTAGACAAGAATCAACAGAAAAAGAAACTCATTAAATAAGGGCTGCTTGGAGCCTCAAGTGAAAGTGCTAGGAAGCTTCTGGCTAAGATCCTTGCCCTGGACAACTGCTTATTGCAGCCACCACTGAACCTCATGCTCTTAGTTTTTCACCATCCTTTTTTAAATCTCTTTGACAAAACAATGCATATTTTTTCGTAAAAAGTTGCAAACAGGGAAAACACAAAGAAAAAAAAACACACATACTTCTATCACCTGAACATAACCAAACTTACTACTGGTATACATATTCCCAGTCTTCTCTCTCTTTTACTAAAAATCAGGATTATACTATAAATCATATTTTATAACCTCTCCCTTTCCTTTTTTCTTTTTTCTTTCTTTTTTTTTTTTTTTTGAGACAGAGTCTCCCTTTGTTGCCCAGGCTACAGTGAGTGCCGTGGCATCAGCCTAGCTCACAGCAACCTCAAACTCCTGGGCTCAAGCGATCCTTCTGCCTCAGCCTCCCGAGTAGCTGGGAGGGACTACAGGCATGTGCCACCATGCCTGGCTAATTTTTTCTATATATTTTTAGTTGGCCAATTAATTTCTTTCTATTTTTCGTAGAGACGGGGTCTCGCTCTTGCTCAGGCTGGTTTCGAACTCCTGACCTCAAGCAATCCACCTGCCTTGGCCTCCTAGAGTGCTAGGATTACAGGCGTGAGCCACTGCACCCAGCCTCTCCCTATCTTTTAATTTTGAAAAATATCAAACCTATAGGAAGTTGCAAGTAGTGCAATGAACCTTCCCCTAGATTCATCAATTGTTAACATTTTATCTCCCTCTCTTTCTCTCTGTCTCTAGAAATATTTTCCTGGACCACTTGAAAGTAAGCTGTAGGCATCGCGACACTCCGCTGGCTCTTCAGCTGCGTGTCCCGAGAGCAGGCCATCAGGGCTCAGAAGGAGAAGCCTCCTCGTGAGAAACAGCTGAGCATTCTTGGTCAATCTTTAGTTAGGGACAATGGCAACAGTCCCCTTCTTCATTTCCCATCTCCCCCAAGACTCGTGACACCATATGCCTCTCCTGGTCAATGTGCACAGGGCCCTCCATGAGATACTGACAGCCACCCAGCGACACCCCAGAGCACAGGGACACAGATGCAGCAGAGAAACGCAGGCACGAGACGGAAAGCAGAGAGGAGCTGGGGGCCACCTGGTGGTGATATTCAGGATTTTCCCAGGCACAGACTCGGATTAACAGGGAGGGGACGCGTCATCCTAGTCATACCCACCATTGGCTGAGCAGCCACCCTGTGCCTGGCACTTCACATGTGCTGTCTCCCTTAATACCCACAAGCCCTGAAAAGGAGGCATCATTAAAATGTCCGGAACTCAGCTGGGCACATCTTGGGGGAGAATGACATATTTTGAGAAAGACTGAGGAGACTGGGTCTCTGAGAGGTTAATTCACTCACCCAAGGCCCCACAGTAAGTGGGACGGTGAGCACCACGCCCGGTCTGTGTGGCTGCAGACCTGCCTGTCTCACCCATTCTACCTCACTCCTCCCTGAGGAAGAGTCTAAGCGGAGAAAGGGGGACATCGTCGTGAAGGGACGCTGTGGCCACTGAAGAGATCACGGCATCTCAGAGCTCACGTTACATAAGGATGTTGTGGCCGGGGGCTAGGATCCAGGTCCACTGATAACCCCATTCTGCCCTACGTGCGTAGTCAGATCCCAGGGGAACTGTCAACAACAATTTGCAAATCCCCAGAAATTTGTTGTGAGATGCATTAGAAGAGACACCCACTTCTCCAGAATGGACCGAGTCCCGTTCAGTGTGCTTCTAGAGCAGAAAGGAAAGCAGGCAGCCGGGCCTTGGGGGACTGGGGAGAGCGGGAAGAGGAGGGGAGGGAGGGACGTGGCACCACCTTCTATCGGGGGTCCTCAAACTTTTTAAATGAGGCCAGTTCACTGTCCCTCGGACCGTTGGAGAGTGCGCACTGTGGGCCCCAGACAAGTCAGCTGCTAAGCAGGACAGGCAGCAGCGGCCAAAGCACCCAGTGGGCCAGATAAATGTCCTAGGCGGGTGGCATGTGGCCGGCGCACAGGGCCATAGTTTGAGGACACCCGGATCTAGATGATGGATAAAGGAAGCGGTCTCAGACCAGGGGTCGGCAGATATCTTCTTTAAAGGGCCAGAGTGTAAATAATTTAAACCTTATGGGTCACATGGTCTCTCTCGAAATGCAGCAATTCACACAAGCACCATAGATAACATAAAAAATGGGCATGACTGAACAAAATGGCCCTGTGCGCCGGCCACATGCCACCCGCCTAGGACATTTATCTGGCCCACTGGGTGTTTTGGCCACCGCTGCCTGTCCTGCTTAGCAGCTGACTTGTCTGGGGCCCACAGTGCGCACTCTCCAACGGTCCGAGGGACAGTGAACTGGCCCCGTTTAAAAAGTTTGAGGACCCCCGATAGAAGGTCGTGCTGCGTCCCTCCCTCCCCTCCTCTTCCCGCTCTCCCCAGTCCCCCAATGGGCATGTTTGAATAAAATCTTCTTTGCAAAATGAGGCAGTGGCTGGATGTGGCCCACAGGCCATAGTTTGCCAACCCCTGTTTCAATGATTGTGCCTAATAATCCCAACATGCTTCAAAAAAAAAAAAAAAAAAAAAGGAATTGAGAAAGTAAAGAGATGGTCTTGACAGGAAGAAAACGCCAACTGGAGGCCCTTCTTTGCTACAGCCTGAACGAACCACGCCTTTCCTAGCAATCCAGCCACGAGTCAGAGTGTGGCTGGCGGGCTGCAATGCGGTGGGGGGCAGGGATTGAAATGCTGAAAGGATTTTTCCACAAAACAAACTCCGCTATCCCCGTCCAGAGACGGCCCAGACGCAGGGAGGGTGTACACACGGAACTCTCACCTCTTCTGGAGGAGGTGCTCGCATCTAATCTCCAGCGGCAGTGTCTGGGAGAAGGCCATGCTTTCCACCTCCCTCTGAGGAATGGTACCATGTTTTAAGATCTTTTTCAGGAATGGGTAGGCCTCAAACTTAAAATAGAAAACAGAATTTTGGATTTCAGCATCATCAGTGGATCCAGTTTCATGTGGACTGTCATCTGCAATGAAAGAAAAACGGCGCGTCCTCTGTACTGACTGCTTTCCTGATGGGCTCCGCTTACAGGGCTGAGTCGGCTGGGCTGGGCTGTGAGGGGCCCCCCTGCTCCGGGGGAGCAGGAGTCTGGAGGGCAGACCGCGCTGGCGTCCTAGCAAAGCCCCTTGTGAGGTCTGAGCTGCAGTGTCATTTGGCCTGTGGTTGGGGTGGGATGCAGGGGGGAGAAGCGTGGTGGGATTACTCTCGGGGAAGTGGTCAGCAGGCCACAGGTCCTGGCATCACCCCGAGTGTCGTGGGCCCCCTCTGTACCTCGGAGCAGGAAGCATGGGGGCTGTGAAGACACGACAAACACTGGCGTCCAAGGGGCTGCCAGATGGAAGTCTCTGCCGGGAGCAAAGGCACAGATGACTTCGCGCTTGGTCACATCCATGAGGCACACACAGCCATTCTGAGCAAAGGTCAGCAGCTGGGAAGCAAAGAGATGGTGAGTGGGGACCTCTCCTGGACTCTGTCCCTTACAAGAAGGCAGAGCGAGAGGTCGCCCCAGTAAGGACTAAGAGAAGCAGCTGGACATAAAACGTGGAGACAGAACTGATCTGGCCCTTGGGCACCCAGCCTCTGGATCCGTCCGGGCTGCTGGGGAACTGCAGGCATGTGTGTGCTGACTCGTCCGGGGCCGCCCTCAGCAAACAGGCCTCTGTGCACGTGCCGTCTGCTCAGGGCTGTGCTTCCCCTTCCGGCCGGGCCTCTCTTCCTAGTTCTTCCCCACATCTCCACTGAAGGCTCAGCCTCCACGTGGCCAAGATTCAGTCCCCTCCTTGCTCCTGGCTCCCTTCCTTTCCACCGCCTTGGGGACCCTGCTCGGTCCAAGATCCTGAGATCCTCCTGGCCTGGATCCCAGGTCTCTCCTGCCTGTACCTGTCCTCTCCGCAGTGGACACGCTGCACTCACGCCCGCCTTAAAAGCCCCCTTTAGCCCTGTGTCCTCCGGCCGCCACCCCTCTCTCCCCTTCCTCCCGCAAGAAGGTCTCTGTCACCCTGTCCACTGCCCCACCTCCTGCCACCTGTCTCCACCAGGTGCTTGGTTTCTCTATAGCACAGGGTACCGAGTTCTCACCTGCACACGCTCCTCCCTGGGTGTGCAGGACCCACCTGTGGTTTTCCCTGGAGTCGCTCTCAGTCACTTCGTGAGTCACTCTCCTGGCCCTGTGAGTGACGTAGTGCCCGCAGAACCTCTTTACTCACCTCCTCTCTTTGACTGGGGAAGCTGCTGAAACCCACAGCTTCGACCATCACTCACTCACTCTAACTGGCTGCTGGGCACAGAATCTACATTTTTAGCCCTGGGGTCTCTCGGAGCCTCCCCTGGGGGTCCTACAGACCCCTCACCTCCTGCAGGGCCACAGTGGGAATTGCAGAGAGTCCCTCCAGGCCTGCGTTCCGCTCAGCGGGCCGGGAGGATCAGGGAATCCGCACTGCAAGTCAGGCTTAGCCGTGGTCAGGCCTCCTTTCCCTGGGCTACCGGTGCGGACAGAGTCGGTCTCCTGCTCTCCACCCCTTCTCTGAATATGCCGCTCCCCTGCTCTGACCTCTCTGTTTCCAGCCCCATCCCGCGCAAGGGCACATCCATGCTCTCCTGCCTGGCATCCAGGCCCTGCACAGGCTCGTCCACTTGCTCCCCACCCCAGGCTCCTCCCGCCCCACATCCCCCAGCTACTCAAGCTTCCTGCGGGGCCCGGGGCACCTGGCGCTCTCTGCCCCCATGGTGCTGCCTTCTCCACGCCTCTGCCTCAGCTCAGGTGTCACCTCCTCCAGGAAGTACGCTGCCCCCGCCTGCTGCATGTTTGCAGGTTGAGTTCGGGGACCTCTCTCTCTGTCCCAGGCATTCCTTGCAAGGTCATGGCGCAGCCTGTCTCGTGTTCTGGGGCAGCTGCTTGGTGACTTGTCTGTCTTCCCGAATGAATTATGAGCTCTATAAAGGCAGGCACTTTCTCTTTTATATCTGTAAACCCAAAAGCTAGTCCAGTGCCTAGCACATAGTGGGCCTTCAACACATATTTTTTGAAGGAAAGATGAACACATTCACAGAAGAAGAATGAGAAGCATGGGGGCACCTACCATGCCAGGTAAGGGTAGAACTGGGGCCACGGTACAGATGGCTTCATCCAAATGCTTTACGGGCCTAGAGGACAGAAGACACACAGACATTGTCCTACGTTACGAGTTTTATAGTTTTGCTATCCTATTCTAGGCATATATCCTGGGGAAACAGGGAAATCAAGAGATATGCGAGAGGACTATTCATAGTAGCAAAAAATAAGGAATAATCCAGATATCTATTAGTAAGAGGATGCTTATGTAATTGTGGTATATTATACAATGGAATACAAACATACAGCAATGAAAGTAAAAGAACTGGAGATACATGCATCAATATGCATGGCTGTCATGAACAATGTTGCAAAGCAAGTTACAGAATAAACAGCACTGAAATACAAATTGGAGAATATATAGAATGTGGTTCCATTTACAAGTTTCCCAAATACGCACAGTTAAATAATACACTATTTAGAGATACAGTCATACAAACGTAGTTCTTAAAGGAAAGCAAAGGAATGATGAATTTGGGAAAATGATGTGGTAAATTGAAAAAACAGTTGGCCATATTTAGCAGTGACTTCCATCAAAAGGCAGAGTCTATTTTTCTGCTGCTTGAACGTGGGTGTGGCCATGGGATGTGCTTTCCCCAATGGGACGTTAGCAAATGCAACATAAGCAGAAGCTTGAAAAGCATTTGTGCACTGGCTGCCTTCTCTCGCTGCTAGGAGCCCACATGAGGAAGCCTGAGCTAGTCTGCAGGAGAGGCCATGTGCATAACCGAGGGGCCCGTGCCTATAGCCTGCCAACTGCCAGGTGTGTGAGTGAGGCCATTCTAGAGCTGCCAGGCCTAGCTGAGCTGCAGGCTGCCAGCAGGCACAGGTGAGAGCCTACGCAAGACCAGTAGAAGAACTGACCAACTCAATCAGCCTAAATTGCTGACCTACAGAATCGAGGATTAACAATGACTGTTCTCTTAAGCCATTATGTTTTGGGGTGGTTTGTTATGCAGCAATATTTAATTAATAAGGTGGTTCCTTTTGGGGAGGAGCACAAGGGTGTGATGAGGGAGAGGCACACAGGGAGTCCTAATGGAATTGGAAATGATCTATTTCTGGTGGGGACAGGGGAGTTGATCTCACATGCACACAGGCATTGTGTAGATTCATTTCCATGCATAAAATATTAACAATGTTTAAAAGAGAGAGACATCCTTGGGGAAGCTGAGAAAAGGTTGTTTTGGCAGAAAGGAGCCGTCTCTTGGTCATATGGGATAAGAAAGATGTTGTCTTGGTCCGTTTTCTGTTGCTTATAACAGAATACCTGAAACTAGGTAATTTATAAAGAAAATGAATTTATTTTTTACAGTTCTGGAGACTGAGAAGTCCAAGGCTAAGGGGCCGCTGAGAGCCAAGGTTAAGGCTCTCACAGCCGGTGAGATCTTTCTTGCTGGGGGGGACTCTGAAGAGTCCTGGTGTGGTGCAGGGTATCACATGGTAGCGGGCTGAGCGTGCTCACGTGCCAGCTTTGGTCTCTTTTCTTCTTGTAAAGCCACTAGTTCAACACCCATGATGACCCATTAATCTATTAACCTGTTAAGCCATTAATGCATGAATGGATTAACCCATTCGTAAAGGCAGAGCCTTCGTGATCCAAATCATGTCTTTTTTTTTTCTTTTTCTAACAGGGCCTCACTTTTCCCCCACCCATCAGCTAGAGTGCAGTGGCACCATCATAGCTCACTGTAGCCTCAGACTCCTGGGCTTAAGCGATCCTCCTGCCTCAGCCTCCCGAGTAGCTGGGACTACAGGCATGCACTACCATGCCTGGCAAATTTTTCTACTTTTTGTAGACACAGGGTCTAGCTCAGGCTGGTCTCAAACTCTTGGCTTCAAGCAATCCTCTCCCGCTTTGGCCTCCCAAAGTGCTAGGATTACAGGCGTGAGCCACCAGGCCCGGCCCCAATCATCTCTTAAAGGTCCAGTCACCTCTCAATACCGCCACACTGGGATTATGTTTCAACGTGAGTTTTGGAGACAGTATTCAAACCATAGCAGATGTCATTTGTGCCATCATACAATTTTGTTGGAAAAATCTGTAATATATATATGACATTGGTGATCTTGGGACGCTCACTGAGAGAGTGACGACCATAGGGAAAGGGACTGTAGTCAGACGGGTGGTCAGAGTTTACCATGAAATAGCATCAGCTATCTGGCAGATTATTTGCCCCACCCTCCCCTAGAGCCACCGACCTCTCCACGAGCACATGGCTGGTGGGTCCTTGTGCCCTGTTGGCCTCCACCAGGTGGAGGGAGGCGTCCGTGCATAGCACCACACATTTCATTCGGGATTTAACTGGATCCTCGGTATACATATTCTGTCCCTTGTGGACCAAGAAGTATTTTAGGAAGTGAATGCTTCGGCAGAAACATCCCTCAGGAAGAGCAATGACCCCAAGAGGGAATCCTGGAAAAATAATGACATGGGGAGGTCAGAAAACTGGGTAGGGGGAGGCAGCCATGGGTGCAGGGGCTGCGCCCGGCAGGTACGTGAGGGACTTGCAGGATATGAGGGCAAGATCAAGCAATGGGCTCCCTCTGAGAGTGGAACCAGTCAACCCAGTGCCCAGTGGGAGAGAAGAGCCCCTGTCAGGGTAACCTTCCCGTGATGGAAGGAGCTGGGGAGGGCGCAGTCAGCGCTGGGACGGAAGGAAGCTATGACCCAGCCAGGGACGGAACTACAGCTGCCTACGGGAGGCAAAGGTGTGTGGACAGGAGGGAGTGGCTTCAGAAAAGGAGGGTGTGAGTATGTAGCCAAACAAGAACCTATCACTGTCCAAAAAGAAAAAAAAAATGCAAGCAAGCTATTGGTCAAGGCAATGGTCTTCTTTCCTTGAAATACCTTTTGCTTCTATAATAATGCCATTGGTTCAATAAATAAAATTCAGGAGGGCCTTTAGTGATGTTTCTTTTAGCACCATGTGGGAGAATGTCCTCCAATTTGAAATAACCACTGGATTCTTCAGAGACATCACAAATAAGAAAGGCCCTTCACTGGCTTGACGGATGTCCCTGAGACCAGCCAGCTCCCTGGTGTGATTAGGAGTCCCCAGCAAGCAGGGCACTAGCTCTGGTTCTCCTCACCTACCAGCAGGGCTGCCGGTACGCCTCCACTCTCTGGGGAAACACATTTCCAGTTGTGAAATGGCAAACCGCTGATTCACTCATTGCTTTTTAAAATGTTTGGTGAGAGGGAGATAATTCCCTAGAGACTGATCAATTTAGGGTCAAGAGATACTATTGCTTTCTATACCTGCAGAGCAGGACCCTAAACCCCCCCCCCAGGTGTCATCCACCCAGAATAGCTACTGGTCTTGCTTTGACGGCTTTATGGGTCCCTTGGCTCCGATACCAATGATGTTCCTGTTGACTGGGGTGGATGTGCAACAGCAGGAAACATGACCGGCTTAGTTTGAGAACCTGGGGGCTGGGAGGAGCAGGGTTGGGGTCACATGTCCCTCTGCACTGTGCTGGAAGACACTTCTTCACTGGAGTATAATAATGAAGGCAACGTGGTTGTACTTCCAGGACCTGGGACAGTGCCGGCTGAGCACAGAGCAGGCACTCAAGGGCTAGGTGAGCAGTAGACAGCATTGGCACGTATTATGTTCAACAAATGTTGAATGAATGAATGAATGAATGAGGGGAAAGCAGGACCAGCTCTCCAAGATGACTTTAAGGACACAGAGGTAACAGAAGGCCAAGAGACTGCAGGAATTCAGAGCTCCTGCAGTCTCATTGCCCAGAGTCCCCACCCAGGGGCTAGGCAGAGAGGCAGGGCGGGCTCACCTTCCACCAGGTCCCAGAGCGTGAGCACGCCATCCTCGCAGGCCAGCACCAGGTAGGAGGCGGAGGGGCTGAGCCGAGAGACTGTAATGGGCGCGGCACAGGGCCACACGCCCTCGGGTTCTAAGGGGAAAGACACCACTCACCAGGGTCCCCACGAGACCCTGCACCTGCCCATCACTGCACCCGGACAACCTGAGACCTAGACTGGCCTGGCTGTCCAGGGCATGGGCACCCGTCCGGACTCACCACCTCTCTCCCCTCTACGAAGAGCTATTCTCCTTCCTTAGGAAGACATGGTGAGAGGGCACGCTGTTGTCGCTCTACAGCTCACACTGAAGGAGCACTTCCTAGGTGCCGGACACTGTTAGGCACTTTACATGCATCATGTCATTTAATTCTCACAAGGTTCTGTGAAACAGGTCCTATTAGTACCCCCATTTGACAGATGAGGAGACTGAGGCAGAGAAGTGATTGCCCAAGGCCACTCATTCAGTACAGAAATGGACATTAGAAGCCATGCATCGGCTAGCATTTCTGTTGACAAAAAAGGCATGCTGCCTGGGAGAGGCATACAAGGAAAAAAATTTCTCCTTTGTGAATTTTTATTTATTTATTTATTTAGAGACAGAGTCTTACTCTGTTGCCCAGGGCTAGCGTGCCATGGCGTCAGCCTAGCTCACAGCAACCTCAAACTCCTGGGCTCAAGCAATCCTTCTGCCTCAGCTGGGACTACAGGCATGCACCACCATGCCCGGCTAATTTTTTCTATATATTTTTAGTTGGCCAATTAATTTCTTTCTATTTATAATAGAGGCGGGGTCTCGCTCTTGCTCAGGCTGGTTTCGAACTCCTGACCTCGAGCGATCCTCCTGCCTCAGCTTCCTAGAGTGCTAGGATGACAGGTGTGAGCCACCACACCTGGCCCTTTGTGAATTTTTAAATATTACTTTGTAAATATTAAAGTGTAACTAATGTACAGCTGAAGGAATTATTACAAAGTGAACTTGCTCATGTAACTGCTCCTGTGAATTTGTAAAACAGAAACAACCTATGTTTCCTTAGTGCCTCTCAATTCCAAAGAGCTCTCACATACAGAAACTCTCTGGATTTGCTGTTCTCAGCAATCGTGGACAGTAGGTAGCCACGGTGTAACAATTAGCCCTATGTTTCACGTGAAATAACAAAGGACTGGGGCATGCGGTGACTGGCCAGAGACGGCATGGTCTGCAGACAGCTGGGCTGGGACATGCCCACTCTCTTTCTACCTTAGCTGCCTACGGAGGCCTGTGGACCTGGCTGTGGGCTTTGTCCCTACTGACCTATCATCTTTAAGAAATAGGACACTTCAGGTGACACTATCGCCACCACTGCCCCCACTTCTGCCTGCATGGCTGTGGTCCCCTAAAGTGACACTGATATGTCAGTCGCATGCTCTCAGCTAAGCTGGAGGAGGACATGTTCTGAGAGCCCTGAGCTTAAGCAAGTCCCATCTCAGCAGTTCAGTACCAACTTTATCCTTCAGAGTTCGGTTCAGGGAATAGAGGAAAAAATTGTGACTTCCAGTCCAGCGTACGCCAAGGACACAGGGTACTCCTGGGAAGGAAGAGAGGAAAGGGGTATCACATAGGAAGTCTGGGTGGCCTTTAGGTTGCACAGAAGGTGTTTACACAGAGCTGCCTGGTTTGAAGTCTCAAGTTGTTTGTTCTAATGAGCAGCACCCAATAGAAGGGTGAGCTTCCTGAGAAAGAGGGGCTGGACACCCCCAGGGGCTGTTCCTAGGACCCACTTGCCTTCCTGCGTAGGGAGGACAGTCACAACTGCCCCTTGGCTACTTTCCCATCTTCTAGAAAATTCATGCCCACTTGGATGTCAGTGTTTTAAATAACATTTTCTTTTCTTTTCTTGAGAGATGGGGTCTCGCTCTGTTGCCCAGGCTAGAGTGTAGTGGTGTAATCATAGCTCACTGCAGCCTAAACTCCTGGGCTCAAGCAATCCTCCTGCCTCAGTCTCCCGAATAGCTGGGACTACAGGCACACGCCAGCACACCTAGCTAATTGTTCTTATTTTTCATAAAGATGGGGCCAGGCTATATTGCCCAGGCTGGTCTCAAACTCTTGGCCTCAGGTGATCCTCCTATCTTGGCCTCCCTAAGTGCTGGGGTTACAGGCATGGGCCACCGCTCCTGGCCTAAATAACATTCTCTACAAGATGAATTCACATCCAGAAGCAGCCTGGTGGATGTGTGCTCGCAGCCTTCTCTACGGCAGGCCCACTCCCTGAAGGCAGCGGCCGCCTCCGCTATCAGGGAACCTGTGCTCAGGGGACACAGATTCAAACAGAAACTGTTAAGCTACAGCTGGCAACCTCATCTCCCCCTTCATTCCCTCTATAATGCAAGGTGTGTCACGCAGAACGTCTCTAGGAGGGCTTGCTGAGGGATTTCCCTAAGGTGACCCCTTGCTGGGACAACTACCCTCCTCATGTTCATTTACCTGCGGGGTTGGGGTTCTTGACTTCTGTTGGCATTGCAATTATGCTGTTAAGAAACAGGAAATGGAAGGTGGCCGAACTGGGAGAGAAAGAGACAGGAGTCAGAGCCATGCAGGCTCCTTGGCAAGGAGAGATATTGGCTGTGTCTTGGCACTGAGATCAGAAGTGGTTCGGATGCACCTGCTCAGGGATACAGGGCCATGAAGCCATCACATTCTAGGTGCTGGTCCTAGCGGGATGTGCAGACCTTGGACACTGGTGAGGGCAGGTCAGGGGGAGCCTAGAGTCACTCCCAGGCCAGTAGGGTGCAGGGCAGAGCTCCTGCAAGAGAGGGCTCCCTTATGGAGGGCAGCCTCTGTTTTTAGGGAAGATACCTTAAGAGCAGACTTGAGCCACCTGCATAAATGCTCTCTTATCGGAAGACAATACAACCTGTGGTGTGCTTGATAAACAGCGTCTCTTAAAAAAAAAAAAGCGCTTATTCTAGGTTCGCTTATTTTCATGGTGTAAATACTCCGACAGTGGGCAATTAACAGTGGTTTAACAACTGGCCTACAAACTCCCTAAATATCTCACTAGGCCACAAGAGCCGGCTCCAGTACACAGTGGACCTAGTCCTGGCTCCAGTCAGTCACCTGTGGTTGCCATTAGTAGGGCTTAGCCTTAGGACTTTGTGTTCTGGAGTGAGAAAATGCAAGGTCCACTTGACAGCAAGATGAGAGGTTTACACTTTTCATGTGACAACAACATTCCTGAGATCCGGGTGGCTGTGCGGAGAGCTAGTTCCTGAAACCAGCTCTGCCACAGAGACTGCAAAGACTTGGGCTCAGTTTTTACTGTCACAGCATGTGGTTCATGAGGACTCAGCGCTGACTGAAATTAGAAAGTAATGTGTTAAAATAATTACATACCTGCACTATGTTACATTTAGAAAGGCAGGAAGGACGTGGAGAAAAATTTTTATTTCTGTCTTTAGCATCTTCTGTGATTTTTAGATAACCAGGAAAAAAATCTTTTTAAAGAGATATCGTATGTAAAACCATAAAATAAATTCTATTTCTCATCTCCATAGATATCTGTGCCTTTTTAAAAAAATCCACGTCATCTAAGTCAGTTCTGCAGTAGAGGTGGCCTGACTCCCCAGGCTCACTTTGCAGACTCTGAAATTGTCCGTGCGGTTCCCAGTCATGTCTGCACCAACCAGAGCCCTTGAGGCTGGGGTGGCTGACCCGACTGTCCTTCGCTGCTGCACGGCGCGGGAAATGGATCTGCCTTGGGTAGAGACCAGCCTGTAATCCTCGCGCCGCTGGATATCACCCCCATGAGGGGTGTCCTGGATCGCATCCTAACGCAACTGCAAGGCTGTGCCCTTCCCCTCTTCAAAGATGTCATCGCAACAGAGAAAGAAGAGGCTGCCTTCAAACACCTGGATGTGGCCATTCTTGTGGGCTCCATGCCAAGAAGGGAAGGCATGGAAGGGAAAGATTTACTGAAAGCAAATGTGAAAATCTTCAAATGCCAAGGTGCAGCTTTGGAGAAATATGCCAAGAAGTCAGTTAGGGGGACTGCTGCGGGTAACCCAGCCGCCACCAACTGCCTGACAGCCTCCGGGGCGGCTCCACCCGTCCCCCCGGGGAACTGCAGTTGCCTGACTCATTTGGATCACAACCTAGCGAAAGCTCGAATGGCGCTCTAACTTGGTGTGACTGATGATGATGGGAAGGATGTCATCATCTGGGGAACTCATTCCTCAGCCCAGTGTCCAGATGACAACCTTGCCAAGGTGATACTGCAAGGAAAGGGAGTGGGTGTTTATGAAGCTCCGAAAGGTGGGAGCTGGCTTGAGGGAGAGCTCATCGTGCCTGTACGGTCGCACCATCCGGGCTTAGAAGCAGCCAGTGCACCGTCTGCTGCGAGAGACGCCTCTGCCCACGTCAGAGACATCTGCTTTGGAACCCCAGAGGGAGAGAATGTGCCCATGGCATTGTCTCTGATAGCAGCTGCTATGGCGTCCCCGAGGGTCTGCTCCTCTCATTCCCTGTTGTAATCAAGAGTAAGACCTGCGAGTTTGTTGAAGGCCCCTCTGTTAATGGTTTCTCACGTGAGAAGATGGATCTTACTGCAAAGGGACTGGTAGAAGGAAAAGAAACTGCTTTTGAATGTCTTTCCTTTGCCTGACTAGATAATCATTTTGATGTTACTAAATTACTCGTGAAAGATAACCCGTTTCAAAGATTGTGTAGTTCTTGGTGCAGATTTGTGATAGTTTATCATCATGTTGTTAGTGCTACATTCTAAATAAATAAATATTAAAATGAAAAAAAAATATCCATGTTATCAGCCTTTGTTCTAACTATGTTTAAACAATCCCCATACTTTTCAAAAGATCTGCTGAAGCTCTCTGAAAATTTCTCCAAACCAGAAAGAGCTTTTAGATCTCAGATTAATTCCAGTCCTTGGGTTGATTCTTGCGTGTGCCAAGAGAGCAGGAGCTCTGGGGGTTCCCCAGCTCCCCTGGGATGCAGCGTCTGCAGGGTCTCCTAGGGCTCACCTGACCGGCTCCTCCTCCAGCTCGCCTTCCAGGTACCTCTTGTAGGAAGCGTTGAAGAGCTCTGCTTGCTGCTCCCACTGACTTTCCTTGATGAAGTGATTCTGCCCGGAGCCCAGCCCGCAGCAGTCCTCTACCTTTGCAAAGACTTCCAGGGGACTTTTAAATGTGGTGCCTAGGTTGAAAAGGTTCCAGAATTAGTCAAGCATCCGACTTCCCCTTTCCTGATCCCCCCCCCCCTTCCTCCGTGCTTCCAGGTTTCCTGCAGAATCCCTCATCCTCAGATACCCATTCTTGCTCTGCAATTGGTCGGTGAGCGCAGGTGTTCTGTATTCTTCTGGGCTCTCCCCGACCCCACTGGCTCCCAGTGGCCAGGCAGAGAGCAGCAGCCCTCCCTCTTTCTTCTACGTCTCCACCCCAACACACTTCTCTCTGCTTCTGGATTATGGAATCTCTGCAAAGGAGGCCAGGGAGATGTTCACGATACCATTAGAGATTTTTGATCACTGTTGCTGTCTCCTCAGCTAAGGCAGGCCCCAGCCCCGCCTGCTACCATCACTTTTCAGCCACTGCTGAAGACCCGTGCAGTTAGGCCGTCCCAGTCTCTTCCTATGCTGACATTGATCCAATCACCTTCTTTTAAAAAAACCTTTCTCTGTCAATCGTTTTTATTATTACTCCCTTTCCCCAAAACTGCTTATTTCCTTCTTTTTCATTTGTCCTAAATCCTCAGTAAAACTGGGTGGCTTATTTCCTGGGTTCACGCCCTGAGTTTCAGAATTCTGATCACTTTGGAAGGTGCCTGAGCCCCTCAAGTTGCCCAGGAGGCCCCACAGTGCCCCCAGCCACTTCCCCAGACACAACAATGGTCATCAGTTTCTTGCATGACTTTCTAGAGGGACACACCTGTTTCGTAAACGGATGGCGTCATATTATACACTAGCAGTTCTCAAAGCGTGGTGCCCAATCAGCAGTATCAGAGTCACCTGGGAACCTGTTAGAAATGCAGGCCGACTAGAACAGAACTCAGCAATGGGGCCCAGCAGTCTGGGTTTTAATGAGTCCTCCGAAGGAACCTGATGCAGCTAAAGTCTGAGAACTGCTGTTCCATACTACACACCTTGTGTTTTCACTTATTTTGGAGATCACTTCCTATTAGTGCTATGGCTCTTCCTCATTGCTATTTAATGACTACATAATTTTTAATTATTATACCTTGTTCTTGTTGTGAAATGTAACACACATTCAGAAAAGGGCATAAAATATATTTCTTAGTAAATTATTATAAAGCAAATATCTGGTATTATCTACTTGGGTCAAGAAATAGAATATCACCAGCTCCCTAGAAGCTTCCCAAGGGCCCCTTTCCAATCACAACCCCCTGGGAATATTTGCAGCCACTCTTTTGACTTTTACCATAGCTACTTCATTGCAGTTATTTATACTTTTACCACTTAAATATGCATCCTCAACATTATAAGGGTTTTTATTTTTGCCTGATTTTAAACTATACGAGAGGGGCACCATTAGTCTTAACTCTATGCTTGCCCTCTTTTGCTCAATATTGTTTGTGAGATGTATCCATTTTGTTGTGTGTAGCTATAGTTTGTTCATTTTCATTGCTGTATAGTATTCCATTGAATGAATATAGTACAGTTTGTTCTGCTGATGGACATTTGGTTGTTTTGTGGTTGGGGCTATTAAAAATCATGTTACTATCACCATTCTGGTAGCTGTCTCCTGGTACCCATTTGCTTGCAAATCTCTGTGCACCTACCTAGAAGTAAGGCGACTCAAACTGGTTTGCTTAGGAGTTTCCTAGTTTTTGGACTGAACATCTCACATGGCAGGAAAGCCTTCAGCCAGGCAAACTGAGATGGCTGGTCACCCTACGTAGGAGTTCAAATGCTGGGTGGCAGGATATAAATTATTGTCAACCTTATTAGATAATACCAAACTGTTTCCCAAAGTGGATGTATCAATTTTCATTGCCAAGTACAAGGTATGGAAGTTCTGATTGTTCCACATCCTCACCAACACTTAGTATGGTGAGTCTTTCGTAATTTCAGCCTTCCTAGTGTGTGTGCAGTGGTATCTCGTTGTGGTTTTAGTTTGCACTTCTCTTACGACTAATGACAACCCCTGTTCATATGTTTATTGGCTATTTGAATAACCTCTTATGTGAATGGCCTGTACAACTCTTGCCTGTTTTGTACTGGAGTATTTTTTTTTTCTTAATAATTTGTAGGAATTCTTTATATATTCTGGATATGGACTGTTAGTTAAGTTTTATGTGTTTTGCAGACACCTTCTTCCACTATGTGGCTTGTTCTTTCAGGCTCTTAATGATGTCTTTGGATGGTTAGAAGTTCTTAATTTTAATGTAATCAAATTTATCAAAATTTTTTTTTTATTTTTTTCAAAATTTTCTTTTATTGTAAGTACTTTTTGCGTCTTGGTTAAAAGTCTTTGCCTGCCAAGAGGTCATGAAGATATTGCTTATACTGTAATTTCCTAATGGCTTTATTGCTTTGCCTTTTACATTTACTTCTACAACTCATCAGGAATTTAGTTTTGTGTATGACATGAGGCAGGGGCAAGTTTTATTTTTGTCTCCATGTGGACAGCCAGTACCACTTACTGAACTGGCCACCCTTTCTCGGCTGCTCTGTGGGGCCGCCTCCGCAATGCATCAGGTATCCATCTATTTAATCATCTATGTTTCTATCTACATTTTTACATTTCATTTACATTTCTATTATTTGCTTACTTATTTTATCTTGTCTTAACTACCACAGCTTTGTAATCAATTTTGACAAAGCTAGTCCTACCACCATGTTCTTTTACAAGAGTAAATTGTCTATTCTTGGCGTTTTACATTTCACTTTTGTTTTTTAATGGTTGCAAAGTATTTCCTTTGTATAAGTGTACCAGATTTCATCTAACCACTCTTTGGCCTCGGTAAATAATGCCCTCGTGTGTGCTTGCTTCGGCAGCACATATACTAAAATAATGCTACCGTGAACATTTCTATAGCTATGTCTTTGAGATCATGTGCAAGTGCTGAGAAGATACACTCTACTCTCTGGCTACAGTGGCTATCCCTTCAGCTCCTCTCAACCAACTCCCTCTTGTTCCTTAACACCTTGCCCAAATGTCTCTCCCTCTGACAAAGCCTTTGCCTCCTCCCTGGGCAGAGCTATGGTTTTTGTTTTAAGGTCCCAGAGCTTACAAGTTTTAACAAGTTTCCTCTTCAGAACTATGCTTGCAATTTAGGTATTACTGCTGATGAATATTAATAGAAAAGATTAGAAATCTAGAAAAAAAGGAAAAATGGAGAAATCAATGGCAAAAGAAAAGACAGTATTAAATGAATCATACTTACCTGTAATAGGTTTAGGTGGTTTGATCTTCATTATGTGAACTGGAAGACTCAACTTAATTTCTCCTTTAAAATTAATGTTTACATCCTAAAATAAGAAAAAAGCATAGCTAATAAGCTAACAAAAGATATGAAATGGAATCATTAAAAACATTCATTCTAAAAGAAGGCAGAAAAACAGGAAAATGGATGGAACAAATAGAAAGTAAATAGTAAGGGGCTAGATTTAAACCCAAGCATATCAATAATCACATTAAATGTATATGGTCTAAACACCCCAATTAAAAGGCAGAGATTGTCAGAGTGTATAAAAAGGCAAGACCCAATGATATGCTGTCAAAAAGAAACTCATTTTATGACTCATAATCTGAAGCCATGGGGGAGAAAAAAGAGAAACTTATTTTAAATATAATGACACAAATATGTCAAAAGTAAAAATACAGAGGCCAGGCGCAGTGGCTCACGCCTGTAATCCTAGCACTCTGGGAGGCCGAGGCAGGCGGATTGCTCGAGGTCAGGAGTTCAAAACCAGCCTGAGCAAGAGTGAGACACTGTCTCTACTACAAATAGAAAGAAATTAATTGGCCAACTAATATATATAGAAAAAATTAGCCAGGCATGGTGGCACATGCCTGTAGTTTCAGCTATTTAGGAGGCTGAGGCAGCAGGATTGCTTGAGCCCAGGAGTTTGAGGTTGCTGAGAGCTAGGCTGACACTACGGCACTCACTCTAGCCTGGGCAACAAAGCAAGACTCTGTCTCAAAATAAATAAATAAATAAATGTACAGCAAAAAATATACCTTACTAAAACTAATCCAAAGAAAGCTGGTATGGCTATATTAATATCTGAAACAGAAGATTTCAGAACAAAAAAATCAGGTATTGAAAAGCAAATAATGATAAAATGATCAATTTACCAGAAGACATGACATTACAAATTATTAACAGCTGCAAAATACATGAAGCAAAAACTCAAAGAAGTGAAAAAAGAAATAGATAAATCTACAATCTTAGAGATTTCTCTTTCAATAACTTGTGGAATAAGTAGACAAAAAATCAGTAAGAATGGACTAAGGATATAGAAGGAAAAGCAGTAAGGCTATAGAAGTCTTGAATAGCTTGACCCATAACAGAATATATACTCTGTTCAAGTGCACGTAGAACACTTACCGAGGTAAACCACATTCTGGGCATAAACAAATCTCAATAAACTTAAAAGGATTCAAATAGATAAAGAATGCTCTCTGGGCTGGGCGCTGTGGCTCACGCCTGTAATCCTAGCTCTTGGGAGGCCGAGGCGGGCGGATTGCTCAAGGTCAGGAGTTCAAAACCAGCCTGAGCAAGAGCGAGACCCCGTCTCTACTATAAATAGAAAGAAATTAATTGGCCAACTGATATATATATAAAAAATTAGCCGGGCATGGTGGCGCATGCCTGTAGTCCCAGCTACTTGGGAGGCTGAGGCAGAAGGATCACTGGAGCCCAGGAGTTTGAGGTTGCTGTGAGCTAGGCTGACGCCACGGCACTCACTCTAGCCTGGACAACAAAGCAAGACTCTGTCTCAAAAAAAAAAAAAAAAAAGAATGCTCTCTGATCACAATGGATGAGTAAGAAAATGCAAGTTTGTAAGAAAATATATATAGTATGATGCCACTTACGTAGAAAAAAATTCCCATGAAACAAAACTATATTTTTCGAAATAAATATAAGAATATAAATACACACTAAAGATCTTCAAAACATATACCAAGCTAATAATGTTGATTACCCCTGGAGAGGGCTGTTTTCCTGAATGACCCAACTTTTCCAAGAGTGATGATGCATTCATATTTTATTTGTATAATTAATGTAATTTAAAATTTGAATAAAGGGCTCTAGCAAGAGACTTCCATTCCAGAAGTCCACTGCTACCTTACTGTTACGACTGAGTCCTCTGAGGGCTAAACCTCTGGATAGCACAGTGTGCTCCCTGTCTCAGAAGGTAGCTAGGAAGCTACAAGGAAGCCTCTCTGCTCTCTAAGGCTGAGGTCCCCAAGCCCCAGGCCTCTGACCCGTACTGGTCTGTGCGCTGTTAGGAGCTGGACCACACAGCAGGAGGTGAGCAGCGGGAGAGCGTAGGGAGGGAAGCTTCACCTGCATTTACAGCGGCTCCCCATCGCTCCCACCACTGCATAAGCTCCGCCTCCTGTCAGATCCGCTGCAGCATTAGATTCTCTTAGGAGCTCGACCCCTACTGTAAACTGCACATGGGAGGGATCTGGGTTGCGGCTCCTTAGGAGACTCTAATGCCTGGTGATCTGAGGTGGAGCCGAGGCGGTGATGCTAGCACTGGGGAGCAGCTGCAAGTACGGATCATCATGAGCAGAGAGGTCTGACTGCACAAGAAATGTAATGAATCATCCCAAAACCATCCCAACCTTCCCCTGCATCCGTGGAAATATTGTCTTCCATGAAACCAGTCCCTTGTTCCAAAAACGTTGGGGACCACTGCTCTAAGGTATTCCAAGACAAAGACAAAGCCTCCTAAGTCACTTGGCTTGGTGGATGTGGCTGTTATTTTGGGAGGGGCATAGCTAAATATCAAGGGGCCCTTAAGTAAGTAAAAACACAAAATTATAAACACTAAATACTCGTGGCCACTCTAATTTCATCCAATATGGGGGAAATTGTGACAGAAAGAAGTTAGAGTGAAAAGAGACAGTGGTGTTAAGTGATCGTGGTTAAAATATTACTTTTGTCATATTACTTTTGTTACTTTTGTCAATTTTACAAAAATATACCACCATGTGAACACATTGGTAGAGGCGGGCCCTCCCAGGGGCCCAAAGTGAGGTTCCTCTAAAATTTAAGGGTTTTTTTGTTTTGTTTTTTTTTATACAGAGTGTCACTTTGTTGCCTGGGCTAGACTGAATGCCGTGGCATCAGCCTAGCTCACAGCAGCCTCAAACTGCCAGGCTCAAGCGATCCTCCTGCCTCAGCCTCCCGAGTAGCTGAGACGCCAGGTGCTCGCCACCACACCTGGCTAATTTGTTTGTTTCTATTTTTAGTTGACTGGCTAATTTTTTCTATTTTGTAGAGACAGGGTCTCACTCTTGCTCAGATTGGTCTTGAACTCTTGAGCTCAAGCGATCCTCCCGCCTTGGCCTCCCAGAGTGCTAGGATTACAGGCCTGAGCCACTGTGCCCAGCCTCAAGCTCTCTGAACTTCAGGTAAATAGAACTCTGGACAAAGGGACTTAGGTCAATTATACTCAAGGATAGGAGGCCATCTTCAATGGGTATGAGGCACAAGATTAAGTCACAGAGAATCTGAAAACAGCACCCTCATGGAACATTTTGCTAGTATATTTGATATTGAAGATAAATTTCAAGTAAAAATAAAAATCACTAAAATGCAACTTAAGTCTCTCTGGAGATTTTCTTTAAAGTTTCTTACCATTTCTAAAGTATCTGTAGAAAGGAGATCGAGAGTGTTCTAAGGAGAAAAATGAGAAATTAATTCACAATAGGTTTGATGTATGTTCTCCCCTCCCCCTTTCATCACCTGAGCTGCTCTTCCTTCCCCCAGTTACTCTTGTGAGAAGCGGATTCATGCAGTAGGCACCAAGGGCCAATATTTGTGTGGTCTTCTGGCTTACAAGATCTTAACAAGATCCTGTTTTCCAGGTTCTTAACAAGTAATTGGGGAAACAAATAGTTAATAAGAGAAGGTCTGAATGAATAGAGGTGAGGAGATCAGTTAGGACACTATAATAAAATCTAAGTTGAAGCAAATATTTCTGGTTGGCAAAATATATCAGTGATGTTGAGAATTATATTTATTTTATTTTTTTCTCTCTTTTTTTCCCTGCCAGCATGATGGATTGAGAATCATACCTAATTAACTCTAAATATAATTCATAGTAAAAGAATTACCACCATAACTGGCATTAGCTGGTTGCTTCTCAATATAATAAAAGGCAGTGAATTATGGTAAGAAACCACTGCCATTCAAGGTGATTTTTCTACTTGCACAACAAATTAGTCTATCAAAAAATATATCTTTTGGGTACTAAGTATGATACTATGAGATTGGTTGACAAAAAGCAGAAGGCATGGGCTTAGCAATCCAGAAATTTATCATCTATTGAAGACAAAAGGACTTTCATGCATAAGAAAATAACTAAAAACCAAAAAAAGTATGTGAGAAGTGTCAAAAAGAGAGGTACAAACAATAAATTCTGTAAGAGTTTTAAGGAAGAAGATCTCTGGGCTGGTGACTCTCCCAGAGACACAAGAAGCTGGGGAGAAAGGCATTTATTCAAAGTCCCTCAATAAGATCAGCAGTGAATGTGAGTCTAAATCTTAGTCTCCTGTAATAATAATTATTGCTAATTATTAATTAGTGATTAATAATAATCACTAATTCTTTAGCACTTAATACAATGTGTTTTAAAAGGGTCCTCAATTAATATTAGTTGGTGGTAGCTTAAAAAGAAAAATAATAAGCACACATTGTATAAATAAACAGATTAAGTCTTAATATTTACTGAGCAACTATATCTTAAAGACATAGCAAAAGTCTCAGCCGTTGTATGTAAACTAAAAGGTAGAGTTACTATCTTCTAAGAATAATATAAAGAATATACGTATTTCCATATATTGAGAACAACTTCTTTACACCACAAATTTCAAATTTAGTGGAATTGAAGGCATGAAAGGATTATTTCAGCCAGGAGGGGAAAAAATGACCTATGAAGCAATAATCAGACAAAAGGCCTTCCTCCCAGAGAAATGCCTGGGAAGGGTTCAGTAGAGAGGCAGCTCCCAGACAAGAGAGGTACTGAGATTCCCACTACTAAAGACACCTCTACTTTTTAATATCTTATTTTAACCAAAGCAAATTGATTTGGGAGACATGGGCCAAGGTTCCTGTTGTCCTCTCTTTATAGCCCAGAGGCCTCACTCATTGTGAAATTCCAAAGAGGGTTTGGGCTAGATGTGGGTCAAGGGAGAAACCTATCAGCTAAAAGCAGAGATGTTTCCTACCGGTTGTTTGACTTTTTTCTTTGAATTTGAAGGGAATTGGGGGTGCCCCACTTCCTTGAGCCAAGTCTCCTTGGGCAATTTATACACATCCAGCCAAACATCTCCAGCTCCTGTATTGGGAAACCAAAGAACCGTTGAGCAAGCGCAAGTAGGCCACAAGTCTCCCCGCTGAAACGGCCTGTCTTCTCGGAACCGCTGGCACGGAGGTCAGCCAACTCTGGAGCAGGCGCCCACGGATGGCAACTTCAGCGAATGGAAGGAGATGGACTTCTGCCATGGTCACTGCAAGTCCTCACGCCCCAGATCACTTTCCCACGGACAGTCAACCCTCGAGCCACTGCCATCTAAGGGAATTGGGGGCTCGACGCAGCACAGTCTCCAACCTGACTGCCCGCTCGGCCCAGTCCCCATGTTTTCTGTGCTGCAAATGGCGAATTCCACTGACGTTTGGCCTTGAGTTATACCTGTCCTGTCTGGGGAAGAAGGTGGCACATATAGAATCAGTAACCGAGAGCAATATGGCTAAGGAAGAGTAAAAATTCGAAAAAATGCCTCAAAAAGTGTTCTTCTGACCAATATTTGAGGAGATGACAACTTATGGGGTGGTTGTGGGACTTGATTTTGTCATAGAAACATTCTTAGCTTCTGTACGTCAACCAACCTGGAAATGTCCCAGGTACCTGTCAACCTGGAAATGTTGCTCTCTCGTGGTATGGACTCCTAGCTGAATGTTTTCTTTAGGATGTAATCATCTGCACGCCTTAATTTCAGACTTTTGGCCTCCAGAATTGTGAGAGAATAATATCTTTTGTTTTAAGCCACCGAGAGTTTTGTGGTACCTTGTTACGGCAGCCACAGGAAACTAATATAGATGGTGCAAAAGTTTCTTCAAATACATAAAGCATTATAAAATATATATCTCCCTCAAGCACCTAACATTTGAGGGGCTTTGGGCAAGAGTATAAAATATAGGCTTAAATACCGTCCTATCTAAATATTTAAAAGTTAAAAGGCAAGATAACAAATATGTGAATAAAATATGTTCTATTACCCTAACAATATGTGTACCTCCATAATATGATGAAATAAAAAAAAATATGTTCTATTGCCACCGTGATAAATGCAGCAGGCAAGCTCCAACGAGGTGCTGAGATTGGTGATAAAACTTTAAGGAGAAACAACAGGACATTAGTATCATCTCAAAGGGTCACCCCCCCAAATGTTAATTACTGTGGTGGTGGTGTTTGTTTTTATTTCAAAATATTAAGTGGGTACAAACGTTTTTGTTACAGATACCTTGTGTAGTGCTTAAGTCAGGGCTTTTGGCGTGCCTGTCACCAGGACGGTGTTCATTGTACATAATAGGCACGCTGAACTCCCATCCTATCCTTCCCTCTTCCTGGTTTCCAGTGTCCTTTGCATCTCTTTGTGCCCGTGTATGCCTACTGTGTAGCCCCCACTTATTAGTGAGAAAATACGGTGTTTTGTTTTCCATTCCTGAGACACTTTGCTTAGGATGACGGTCTCCAGTTCCAACCAAGTTGCTACAAATGACATTGCTTCATTCCTTTTTATTGCTAAGACATTCTCCCTGCTATATTGTGGTGGTTTTAATGTATGTCCAAAAATTCTTTGATTCTCCTGCCTCTAGGCGGTGCTGCTTAAATCATCTTCCTTTGAGTGTGGTCTGGACTTAGTGACGTGCTCCTTAGAGTACGAGAAAGGAAAAACAGTAGCTTTACAGTGGAGAGACCTGGAAGACACTACTTTTAGTAAGTGATCGAGGCTAATATTAGCAGTAGCGAGTCACCTTGCTATCACATACCCCTGGTACGATGCAGTCGGAAGTGGAGAGGCAGCTCCCAGACAAGAGAGATACTGAGATTCCCACTATTGAAGACAGCTCTACATTTTAATATCTTATTTTAACCAAAGCAAATTAATGTGGGAGATATGGCCCAATGTTCCTGTTGTCTTCTCTTATAGCCCAGAGGCCTCATTCATTGTGAAATTCCAAAGAGTAAGGCTAGATGTGGGTCAAGGGAGAAACCTATTGCCTCTGTGGTATCTTCCCCCCAAAATCCTTAACCCCAGTTGAATCATGAGAAAAATAGCAGACAAACTGAAATTGAGGGATATTCTTTTTTTTTTTTTTTTTTTTGAGACAGAGTCTCACTCTGTTGCCCAGGCTAGAGTGCTGTGGCATCAGCCTAGCTCACAGCAACCTCAATCTCCTGGGCTTAAGGGGATCCTCCTGCCTCAACCTCTGGGTAGCTGTGACTACAGGCATGTGCCACTATGCCTGGCTATTTTTTTCTATTTTTAGTTGTTTGGTTAATTTCTTTCTATTTATAGTAGAGACGGGGGAGACTTCTCGCTCTTGCTCAACTGGTCTCGAACTCCTGAGCTCAAGCAATCCTCCCACCTCAGCCTCCCAGAGTGCTAGGATTACAGGCATGAGCCACTGTGCCAGGCCAAATTGAGGGATATTCTTCAAAATATCTGACTGGTACTCTTCAAAAGTGTCAAGGCCATGAAAAACAAGGAAATACCAAGAAACTGTCACATATAGGAGATTAAAGAGAAACAATTACTAAATATAATATGGTATCCTGGATTGAACCTTGGAACAAAAATTTAATTAGTGAAAAAACCAAGAAAATCTGCAAAAAAAAATCTGTAGTTAATAGTTAATTATATTGTACTCATGTTATTTGCTTACTTTTGACAACTGTAGCACGGTCATTTTAAATGTTAGTATTAGGAAAGTTGGGTGAAGGGTATAGGATAGGAAAACTCTCTGTACCATCTTTGCAACTCTTCTGTAAATCTAAAATAAATTCTAAATAAAAAGTTCGGAGGGAAAAGAGTAATCATCTGGAAGAAATTGAAAATGTGAACCATGTTAACAGTCTTTGGTTAATCTTGCCTTGGAGGAGGAAAGCTGCAAAGTCCCCTCCTTGAGAGATCTCCATCTTCAAACAGGCGACTTGCTTGCTGGCATCATCCTGAAAAGAAAGAGCTAGTGATAGAGTGAGCTCAGCCTGGTGACAGAGAAGAACGTACTTCAGGGCTTTCTGTGGTTCATGCCCAAGAACAGATATCCTTTTAAAGCTTGGGACATGAAAAAATGCCATAAGACTACTTCACACTTCCCATTTTTGTACAGAATGGGACAACATGGTATGTAAAAAAGTAGAACTCACTTTTCTAAATGTTTTTGGACTTATTTTCTGGTTTCTTAAATACTCCTGTGGATTTGTGACATACTCTTGGATCTCTTGGTCAGGTATGCAAACCCTAAAGCCTGTGTTGGTACCTGATTATTTAATTGGATTGAAATAAATTCTATATGACACTGAAAACTCTAGTGGTTGCTGGACAAGAGGCTCTACCTTGACTATAGTAGAGACTGACTGTAACCCTAGTATGAAACCTGCTCAGATTTTGGGCAAGGTGGGAGAGGCTCAGTGTGCATGGTTATGCTATATCTTTAAGGAGGTTGAAGATTATTAGCAAAATAAGGTGGCTAGACTAGTTAGACTGGTAAATTCCATAATTTATTTAATGAGAACCAGTTAAAAATTTTTCAAATTTATATATTTTAGCATCAACTTGTTATGAAAATTTTCAAACATACAAAAAGAGAGAAAATAGAATAACAACTCCTCATATATCCATTACTCAACTTTGACAATTATCAAAATATGACAAATCCTGTTTTATTTATTACCTTCCAAACTCATTAATATTTTTATTTAAGTAGGCCTAAAATATTAACAATTCCTAAATATCATTTAATATCCAGTCTGGTTTTGAATTTCCTCAGTTGTCTCACAAAGGTCATAAATATCTTTTCACAATTGGTTTGTCCACATCAGGATCCAAATAAAGTCCATGGATTGTATTTAGTTAATACATCTCTTAAGTCTCTTTAAATTTATAATAGCTCCCTCATTTGTTTTTCTCCTTGCCATTTATTTGTGGAAGAAACAAGGTCATTTTCCTATGGAATTGGACACTGTGGATCAAACGATTGCATCTCCATGGGGTTAACATGTTCCCTTGGGTCCCTGTATTTCGTATAAACTGGTAATCAGATCTAGAGCTTTGATTAGACTTAGGTTCAACTGCTTGGGCACGAACACTCCACGGGTGCACTGTGGCCTTCCTACTGCACATCAGGAGGCCCATGATAGCTGGTTGTCCTCCTTTTAGTATGTGAAACAGATAATTGACAACAGCTGTTGTCATCCTGATCATCAGTTATAAAATTCCCCATCGGCCACTGGGTGTAACTGCCTAGACAATACCTGTAAAATGGTGGGTGGGGTGGGGATGAGGGGGCTGCTCTCTGCTCCTGCTACAGATGAACTCTAATAGCATCTTTTGATGAGCAGAATGTTTAAAGTTGTTAACAGCTTCATCAGAGGTGTAATGACATGCAATAAACTGCACATTTGAAGCGTCCAATCTGGTAAGTTTTGACATATGTGTACCCCTTGAAACCATTGCCACTATTCAGACAGTGAACATATCATCACCTCCAATGTTTCTTCTTCCCCTTTGTGTTCCTCAAGTTGCCCAGGCACAACGCTGTTTTCTGTCACTAGATTAGTTTGCATTTTCTAGAATTTTATAAAATGGAATCACACAGTACGACATTTTTGTTAATTTTTTTTTTGAGACAGGTTTCAGTCTATTGCCTGGGCTAGAGTGCCATGGCCATCAGCCTAGCTCACAGCAAGCTCAAACCCGGCCAAGTGAATATCCCTGCCCGCCCCGAGTACTGGAACTACAGCATGTGCCTCATGCCCGCACTAATTTTTCTATTTTTAGTACAGACAGGGTCTTGCTCTTGCTCAGGCTGGTCTCGAACTCCTGACTTCAAGTGATCCTCCCACCTGCACCTCCCAGAGAGTATGTATGCTTTTTTGTCTGACTTCTTTCAATCAGCATAATTATTCTGAGATTTGTATATGTCATTAAATGCATTGCTGACATAAGAGTTCATTCTTTTTTATTAGTGGATAATATCCCATTGTATGAATATACCATAATTTGCTTTTCCATTCACCTGTTGATGGACATTTGGGTGGTTTCTATTTTTTTGGCTATTAGAAACAAAGCTGCTATGAACATTTATATACAAGTCTCTGTATGGGCATATGCTTTTGTTTCTCCTGGGTAAATACCTAGGAGTGGAATGGCTGGATCATATGGTAAGTTATGTTGAAGTTTTTAAGAAACTACTGAAGTGGTTGTACCATTATACTTTACCACCAGCAGTGTATGGAAGTTCTGGTTGTTGTGTATCTTTGCCAACACTTGACATAGTGTTTTTAATTTGAGGCATTCTAATACATAAGTAATGGTATATCATTATGATTTTAATTTCTACTCCCTAATGAATAATGATATGGAGCATCTTATCTGCCTTCCATATATCTTCTTTGGTGAACTATCTTTTCAAATCCTTTGCCCATTTAAAAAATCATATTATTTCCTTGTTTTGAGAGTTCTTTATATATACTGGATATACATCCTTGATCATATATGTGATTTGCAATAATTCTCCCATATGGCTTGTATTTTTATTCTTTTAATAATATCATTTGCAGAACAGAAGTTTAAAATTTTGATAAAGTCCAATTTCTCAATCTTCTTATTTTATGGATCATGCTTTTGGTGTTGTAGCTAAAACATCTTTGCCTAACCCAAGGGCATAAAGACTTTTTCCTGTGTTTTCTTCTAGAATTTTTGTAGTTTTAGGTTTTACATATAGGTATATGATCCATTTTGAGTCAATTTTTGTACATGATATGAAGAATGAGAAGTTTTTAATTTTGGTAAAATCCAATATCAATATTTTATTTTATTATTAGTGTTTTTCATGTCTTAAAAAATCTTTACCTGCCCCAAGGTAGCATAAATATTTTTGTGTGTGTTTTTCTCAAGAAGAATAATGTTTTTAACTCTTATGTTTAGACCTAAAATCCATTATTAAATTTAATTTTTATATATGGTATGGAGTTGAGGTTCATTTTTTTCCACATTTGTTCATCCAGTGTTTCAGCATCATTTGTTGAAAATATTTTCTTTCCCCAATTGCCTTGGTGTCCATCAACAGTATTAATATTTCTTAGAAGACAAATGACAGTTAAAAATCTACTCTGAGCAATATCTTCTCTTTGGGGGATTCATTGATTCAAAATACACTTTCTGAGAACGTACAGTACGCCAGGCAATGAGCTGGGAAAAAGTGATTCAAAGGGGAGTGAGAGAGGTCCCCTGCTCTCAGGAGAAGCAGCAGTTATACAAATGGGTGTAAAGGGTGCAGAAAACACTGTACTAGAGATCATGTTCTATATGGAGGTGCCACGAAGCAGGGAGCGATTAGTTCTTCTTGGGTATATGAAGGAAAGTATCTTACAGGATGAGGAGATATTTGAACTTGAAACTTGGTCTTGAAGAATGGGAGAAATTTAACAGGCAGACATGGTAGGTGTAAAGAAACAAGGAGAGACTGGGCGTGGTGGCTCACGCCTGTAATCCTAACACTCTGGGAGGCCAAGACGGGCGGATTGCTTGAGGTCAGGAGTTCGAAACCAGCCTAAGCAACAGTGAGACCCCGTCTCTACTATAAATAGAAACAAATTAATTGGCCAACTAATATATATAGAAAAAATTAGCCGGGCATGGTGCATGCCTGTAGTCCCAGCTTCTCAGGAGGCTGAGGCAGAAAGATTGATTGAGCCCAGGAGTTTGAGGTTGCTGTGAGCTAGGCTGATGCCATGGCACTCACTCTAGCCTGGGCAACAGAGCGAGACTCTGCCTCGAGAAGAGAAGAGAAGAGAAGAGAAGAGAAGAGAAGAGAAGAGAAGAGAAGAGAAGAGAAGAGAAAAAAGAAAGAAACGAGGAGAGCATTCGAAGCTGAGTGATACATTGGTCTGATGCTCAAGCAAAAAATCTGAACTGGAGTTCCTCAGTAATTTTCTTCTCTTGACAAAAAAGTAAATAAATCCAAGGAATTCAGCCTCTACCCTTGACGGTGGGGGATCTTTCAATTGGATATTTTGGAGGAGACTCTCTGACCAGGGAGTTCTCTATTTCTTTCTTTCTTTCTTTCTTTTTTTTTTTTAAGCATAAAGATTATTTTGAACTGAATATTTCTTTGAAATATAGGACAGCTATCATTTCTTCCATATTAAAAGTAAACTTAATTTGCTACAGCTTTTGGCCCAGCTAAAGGTGAAAACAGGAACTCACCACTTCATTGATGGCTTTGCTTAGGAATATACCATCCTTATAGAAATAAAGTAGTCTAATGATACCTGGAACAGAACAATAAGTAAGAATGTAAGACAGACAAGTGAGCTAAAGGAGAATTAGAATTTTACATTTGACTTTCTGAACTCAGCAGCATAAACTCATCCATCTGAGGCCCCTCCCTGGCCCTCCACTGCCCACGCTGCTCTCGGTCTCCTTGACGCCCTCCACCCCTCCACCCCTCACTGGACATCCTCAGGTCATTTTCCTTCCTGGGTTCTCTCCACCTACCCTGGCCCTACCTGCATCTGCTAGAAGTTCCTGTAAGCGTGTCCATCACAGCAATCCACTTCTGGATTCCCATCCACCTGCTTTAGTGCATCGTCCCTTAATGCTTCACACTGTTACCAACCGCTTCCTCCGAGTGTGCTGCATCCCTCTTGCAAGTGCATGGATTGTGTGAGGAAAAGGACCGTCGTATCTCACCCATCCGTGTGCCTCACCGCTCAAGCCCAACAAGCTCTTTATGTTTTATGCTCTTTAATTGTGTTGAATTAATAAGTGATTCTGTCAATCTAATTCCCATTTAATGTAAAGGCTCCAGTATATGATCATCACCCACCATGACTTCTTACCTCTTTCTTTAGGTGCCTCCCTGACACTCATCACCTGCCTCCAGGCCACAGTACAGGCATCGTAAAGACATCTGGCCCACTGCGGGTGAGAGTCTAACTCAACTCAATAAAGATTCATGGGGTATCTGCTCCATACACCAATATACGTGCTAGCGACACCAAGGCAGTCTGCCTTGGAATTCATCAAATTGAGGGTTACACAGACATGAAACCAACTAGTGTGATGCAGCCTGATAAACATGTATGACCCTATCTTAAACCAAGCTAGTTCTGCACATCAACATTTCCACACAGATATCCTCCAGGGGCCTCAAATCTGCGCATGTTAAAATGGAATTCGTCAACTCACAGACCCTTGAAAACTTACTCTCCTATAATTGTTGTCAAAGAATGGCATGATCATCCACCAGAAAGGCAGAGTCATTCTTCTTCACTGTTCCCAGCATGCCTCCCTTCTCCCTCATCCATGCACATATTCTATCACTCACTAAGTATTTTCCTTTTCATTTGTTAAGCTTTTATTTTTAACTAATTTTAGACTTACAAAAAAGTTGCAAAAATAGCACAAAGAGTTCCCCTATATCCCTCCTCTCGCTTCCCCTAATGTTAACATCTTATATAACCACAGTAAAGTTTTTCTTTTCATTTGAACAGCCTCTGCCTTGATTCAGACCTTCATCATTTCTCTTCTCAATGAGTACAATAGTCCTTCCTGTTCTCTCTGCCTCTCATTTTTACTTTTCCAAACTCCTGCCAGGCTGCCCTTCCTACAATGCCAGTCTGGCCAGGTCAACCTGCTGCAGATGGCTCTCCAGTGTGCCTGCGATGCTTGCTTGGAGAGACGCAAGCTCACATAGGTGGTCTCAAGGCGAGCAGGCACTTTCTGCTCTCCTCGCCCCAACACCACACAGCCACCTCTCTGATTTCTGCTCTCCTCGCCCCAACACCACACAGCCACCTCTCTGATTTCTGCTCTCCTAGCCCCAACACCACACAGCCACCTCTCTGATTTCTGCTCTCCTCGCCCCAACACCACACTGGCCACCTCCTGGCCAGTGCTGACACTTGCCTTCTCATCCCCCGCAAAGTAGGGAAGCTCCCCATATCCAGAGGCAGCAGTCTGGGTCACCCAAACAGAAGGACAGGCTTTTGGGGGCAACAAAAAGCAACAGTGCACCTACCTAGGCCACTGTCTACAGTTTTTTAGACCATGCTCCCCATGAAGGCCTGGTTCATCCTTGGGCTAAGGGGAAAAAGCAAGCTCTGGTTTCTATGAGCATCAGGATGCTGAGCATGAAAAAGTGTGTGGCTTCTGCAGCCATATTGTCTGTTTGTCCCTGTGCCACTTACTTTCCATGTTACCTCAAGTAAGTTATTTAACCTTCATGCCTCAGTCCTTCTTCTGAACAGGAATAACAAATTGCACTTCCCTCCTAGGGTTGCTGTGAGGATTAAGTGCGCTAACACACGTGAAAAGTGAGAATAGTGCTTGGCGCACCACACGTGTTCTGTAGCTACTAGTTGCCACTTACATGGCCAGGGAGGACTCTCCACCCCTGGCCCCACCCATACCTGGAAAGGAGATTAAACTGAACAACAGTCTACAGGTACCTGTAAATTAGGCAAAAAAGGAAGATGAAGAACAAATACCCATTTCATCCACAAGAGCAAGAAGCATTTCACTCCCCAAATCCGTGGCACAGATGGAAGTGACATCAACTTTAAGTTTGTCCCAAACATATATTTGTTTAGCATTGTATAGGTTATAAATTGAGAATCCTTTGGCTCCTCCAATAAACAGAAAGTCTTGGCAAACAGCCATACAATTTGGCTTTTTGTTGAGCTGGGAAAACAAAGACAAAGAAAAAAGGAGTAATTTTCAGTTGTCACTGTCTTTCTTCAAGTAACATGAGCTAACTTTTCATAGACCATCACAGCCCTTCCTAGATATAATATCATCCCCAAACATAGTACTCATCTGAAACTCTTGCCTAAGCATCAAGAAACTCATAGTATTCCACTTTTAGGGGAACGAACCCAGAAACACAAAGAAGTTTAGAATAAACGTATGTTCACAATGCCAAGCAGACCCACAGGCCCTGTACTTTATTGATCTGGCGTGCTGTGGGAAGAATGAACCATAGCTGAGGCACTGATAGATCCTCAACCATCAAATAAGAAAGTGGATTGATAGATGAAGGCAGATTTTTCAATAACAACAGTTGAATAGAAAGGGCCTTCTGTAAATCTTCCATTAACCAGAACAATCCACTTCCCCAGGCAATTACCAGATCTACTGTAATGGACATCAGCATACCTACAATCTTTCAAAAACGTACCAGTCTTATTGAATGCAGGTTTCTGGCAGGAATTCCTTCCCTGGATGAGGAGTTTTCATTTATTAACAATCAACTGAGGGACAGGGACTTCTGGTCGGCTGCCTACTCCATACCTGGATTTCCTCAGTTGGGGGGTAGACGGTGGGCTGGATCCGGTTGCTCTCAGCTTCCCTCAATGCGTCCCTCTCTTCAATAATTTCCCAGGACCGGTCAAACAGAAGGTTCACCAGCTTGTTAATCATTCGATAAGGCTGAGGCAGGGAGTCCAGCCCCTGATTGACATCCAGGAAAATGTAATCCCCGTCATTATCTGTAGGCCAGTCCTTCTCTGTTGGGATCGGCACTTCCAAGGATACCTTTCGTGTAGTAAGGGACAGCTTCATCTTCTGAGTCTGACTTTTTCTGGGGGATGACATCATAGAAGGTGGCACCAGGAACTTCTATGAAACTCTAGAAAGCTGATAAGAGATGTAAGCAAAGGAAGTCTGAGAAAAAAGGGAAGCGACAAGAAGACAGCACACAATCCTTCTCTCGTGCAGGAGCCTAGGGGGACTCTTTATTCCAGAGATTGGCACTTTCCTTAATTACCAGAGGACTGTTACCACATTCCAGGAGGTATTAGTAAGGAAACCAGAAGAGGCAGGTATCCTTCAGGCCAACCCAAGATGATGTATACTATGATGGAAGAAGAGGAATGTGGCATCCTTCAAATTTCGTTACCTCTTGATAGGAAGGCAGCTGTCTTTCCATTTCAAATAGAATTCACCCTCTCTCTTATAACTTATGCCTTCTCTTTGTTCTACATCTTTGCAAATGGGCAATAAGCCCTGATCTAATCCAGTAGGGCAGCGAGCCATGACTCTCTTCCCTTCTTTTCCCTCACGCCTGACCAGATGCAGTTCAGACACTCTCAATCTTTGCTGTCTGATTTGTTCTCTTCTCTCCTTTCCTACTGCTGCCATCCAGGATTTCTGCAGGCAAAATGCCCAGGGCCTATAAGATTTTTCAATGGCCTACAGAAATTTTTGAGATGTGAGAAAAAATTGATTGACTAAAAAATTAAAAAGGCCCATAAAATCAAAATAAAAATTTACAAAAATACTTATAAGTTCCACTCTATGGGTATCTGTATACAGTTCACATCTACGAGAAGAAAACAAAGTAATCTGTACTTCAGAAAACTTAAAATTGTGTAAATTATAGAAAGGCTTACAAATGTTACAGTTAAAAAAAAGTATATAGTGTGGAACATTGGATACATTTTAAGACTGTTAATGTATAGCAGAGTCTTGCACTGTAATAGTGCCTGGGTCCATGAAGTCTTATGAAAACCCTGCTGTCATCATCATCATCATCTTTTCTCACTGGAGGACATGTGTGATGCTTCCAGTGCAGAATGTGAGGTCACGAGCTGACACTAGGAAAGAACCACTTTAAGTAATCAGTGGGAACAGTAATCTGAGCTCATAAAGTGCCGGGAATGATGCCTATTTCCACCAGCCAGACTGGAAAACCTCCTAAGTCACGAGCATTGGGTGGAGTATGCAGAAGAATCAGCAGCAGGAAAAATCAGCGCCTAGACTCCAATGCTGGCTCTCGTGCAATTGAACATCAAATCTTAGGAAGGTAGAAAATGAACTGTTTTTCAAGTATTAACTGCGTAGTCCAGAACAAGTCCACGATATTTAAAGAATACACACACACACCACACACCACACACAACAAAATACCGGTCCAATGAAGTAAAATTCACAATGTCTGGGATCTAATAAAGAATTACCTGGCATGGAGAGAGGCAATAAAATATAAGGCGCAACTAAGAAGAAATCATTAATGTGAGCCAACTGCAGGGAACACAACAGATCTGCAGGAATTAGCATAAAAGAGTGTGTACGTTTTCGCATGTTGCAACAAGACCTCAAAGGAAAATGTGACATGGTTACCAGTAAAGACCATGAAAGATATTAAAAGACCCAACTGAAGCTTTAGAGATGACTACAAGGGCCGATGGTCCTGAGATGAAGAATCACTATGACCGATTATGATGAACCATTGTCAGACAAAGCAATAGATGGGCAGAAAAAAAAGGCTAGAAGTGAACTGTAGACATGGAGCAATATGAATAAAACAAAGAAAAAAGATTAAAAAGAAAATGAAGAGAGTTGCGGGGCGTGCTTGTGATTTTGAAGTGGCATGATATAAGTGTGATTGAAATCCCAAACGATGGAGAACGAAAAAAAATTTGTTAATAAATGGTAACTATATACCCCAGAATGAAATAAAAGTGCAGCCATCGCAAATCAGTAGAACCACCAAGGAGATAAAATGCTCAGAACATGTTGGTAAGAACAAGTTGAAAAAGCAGCAAAGGAAAGACTACATAAACAAGAGATATGCGTTCTGAAGGAACCATGCAGATGAGAAGACAGTAAAGCAACATCTTTAAAATACTGAAAGAAAAAAAATTTGTCACTCCAGAATTCTCACCGAACAACACTTATCTTTCAAAACAAAGGTAAAAAGGCCGTTTAGAGTATACAAAAACTGAAACAATTCATGATCATCAGACCAGCACTATTACAATAAATAATGTGAAAGGAAGGCTTTCAGATAAAAAGAAAATAATATGAGATAAAATCGTTGGACCCATATAGTAAGGCATGAAAAGGCATGGATGTAGTGTAGGCAAACTATGGAAGATTTTGTTCTTATATATCCTTAAATCTCTAAAACATTTTAGGCTGGGTTGCGGCTTTGGCTCATGCTCTCATCTAGCACCTCTGGAGCCGAGGCAGGCGGATCGCTCAAGGTCAGTTCAAACGCGCTGAGCAGAGCTAAGACTCATTCTACTAAAAATCAGAAAGAAACTTACATTGCCAATTTCTGAAAAGAATAGATGAAAAAATAATATTATAGAAAAATATAAAATATAATATAGAAAAATATATATGAAAAAATTAGCCAGGCATGGTGGCGCATGCCTGTGGTCCCAGCTACTCGGGAGGCTGAGGCAGGAGGATTGCTTGAGGCCAGGAGTTTCGAGGTTGCTGTGAGCTAGGCTGATGCCATGGCACTCTAGCCAGGGCAACAGAGTGAGACCCTGTTTCAAAAAAAATTAAGAAGCTAATTTTACAATTCATGTAGAAACAAAAATAACTTAGAAAAAGAGGGACAGAATTGGAGAACTAACACTACCTAATTTCAAGACTTATTACAAAGATCCATTAATCAACGCAGTATGGTATTGGCATCAAAACTAACAGAGTTCATTTCTCCATCAGCTAGGAAGGACGTATTGAGGTTTACATAAACCTATCAAGAACAGTAACTACCACGGTTTCCAGTCCTTTGACGAAACCTCAGGTGCATGGCGTTCTGGCCAGGCATCTGTGATTTCACATTGTTGGAGCATTTAATGTATTGTGAGGGTTGCAGCTCTCTCTAAGTTTGCTGTTGCTGATCCAAGAAAGAAGACATACACAGATTTCTACAGAAATTATGATCCATGAAAGATTTTGAGATGAGAAGGCTGGTATCTTTCAGAATACAAAGTGATTTTGGAATATAAAGAATTTCTTTGGGTTGAATTACATAGAAGTATGTCACTGAACTGTGCTCTTGAGCTGTGTATGAAACATAAATATGTGGGCTAATGAATAGTTCTCTTAATAAATACTTAACAAATACTGTGGACAGTAGGAAAAAAATTAAAAGCAAATAGGTCAACTAAACCAAATAGAGAGTCCAGAATTAGATGCACACATATATGGAGATCTTATTTCTGACAAAGGTGCAAAGATGACTCAGTGGAAAAAGGATAGTTGTTTTAACAAATAATGCTCATGCAATTAGATATCCATATATGAAAAAAATTAACTTTGATTCATACCTCACACCATATGCAAAAATTAACTCAAAGTGGATCACAGACCTAATTGTAAAACTTACAACTATAAAACTCCTGGGGCTGGACATGGTGCCTCATACCTGTAATCCTAGCATTCTGGGAGGCCGAGGCAGGAGGATCGTTTGAGTTAGAAGTTCGAGACCAGCCTCAGCAAGAGCAAGACCCTGCTTCTACTAAAAATAGAAAAATAGGCTGAGTACAGTGGTGCATGCCTGTACATAATTATTAGAACAGCTACTCAGGAAACTGAGGCAGAAGGATCACTTGAGCCCAGGAGTTTGAGGTTGTAGGGAGCTATGATCACACTACTGTGCTCTAGCCTGGGTGACAGAGCAAGACTCCGTCTCAAAAACAAACAAAAAAACGGTAAAACTTCCAGAACAAAACATAGGAGAAAACCTTTGCAATCTTTCCTCAGACAAAGATTTCCTAGATATGACATTAAAGTACAACGTAAAAAGAAAAAATTAGTCATTTAAACATTTTCAAAAATAAACTTATGTTCTTCAAGAGACAATGGTAAGAGAATAAAAGGTAATCCACAGACTGGAAGAAAATATTTGCAAGTCATTTATCTGATAAATTATTTGTGTCCAGAGTATTTAATACACTTCTCAAAACTCAGTAATAAGAAATAATCTGATATGTAAAAATGGGCAAAAGATTTGTATAGATACTTAACTAAAGAAGAGATACAGATGGCAAATAGACACATGAAACGATGTCTAGCATCATCATGCATTAGTGAGATGCAAATTAAAATCATGAGATACCACTACACATGTACTGAAATGCCTAAAGTTAAAAAGACAGATCACACCAAGTATTGTCAATGATGTGGAGGAACTGGAATACTCACATTGCTGTTGGAAAACCAAAATAGTACAACTTTGAAAAACAGTTTGGCGATTTTTTTTATATGTAGTTTAATATATTTTAATAGCAAACTTACAGGAACAGCACAGAAGACAGACATTAACAACACGTACTTGCATGTAGGACAACGCAGTTAGAAAAGTATAGTGAATAGATGGACTCCACTGTAAGATAAAAATACTACAAACACCATTTAGTTGCCATCAATAAGAAATTTACTTGTTTTTAAAAAATTCAAATGCTGGCATTGTCCAGAAAAATTTAACAGATTTATTTATAATTGTTATAAAGTTGAACTGCTGAAACTTGTTCACTGAAACATTTGACATGCATTAATGCTTCACATCGTCGCATTTATATTAAAAATTCACACACAAATGAAAATGGAAAAACTGCCAATACCTGATTTCTGCCCCCTATTTTTCCACTCTCAATCAAATACTGAGGTACCTTTTGACCTCATGGAAAAAAAAAAATCTAATGTTCAAAACTACCAATAACAGGAAGAAGAGAATTCTTCTTCTTATTATTTTTTTTTGAGAATGAAATGTTTTCCCATCATGGTGGATTCTTAAGCATGTTCTCCACGTATGCGGCATGCTAGCTGGATGTCTTTTGGCATAACTGTTCCACATTTGGCATGGATAGCACACAGGTTGGTGTCTTCAAAAAGGCCAACCAGATAGGCCCTCACTTGCCTCCCACAAAGCACCAATAGCTGCGCTCTGGAAGCGCAGGTCTGTTGTGAAGTCCTGAGCAATTTTTCGCACCAGACCCTGGAAAGTAAGTTTGTGAATCAGAAGTTCAGTGAACTTCTGATAACGTCTAATTTCAGAGTCAGTTTGGCGATTTCCTAAAGCGATAAACATACAACTACCATAATATCCAGCCATTCCACTTCAATGAGTGATAAAAGGGAACCGAAAACACACGTTCATAGAAAGATTTGTACATGAACAGTCATTACAGCTTTATTTGTAGGAGCCCCAAAGTCTATCAATGGGTGAATAGATAAACTTTTACACATTGTCAGTGGGTACAGCCACTTTGGAAAATAGTTCGGCAGTTTCTTACTAAGTTAAACATACCATATGATTCAGCAATCACATTCCTATGTATTACACAAGGAAAATAAAAACTTATGTTTCATATGGAAATCTGTACTTAAATATGTATAGGAGCTTTACTTATTTATGCATTTATTTATTTATAACTAACCTGTACCAGAGCAGCTTTATTTGTAATTGCCCCAAACTGGAGATAACACAGATGTACTTCAGTGGTTGAATGGATAATCCACATTATGGAATAAAAATACAACACAGCAATAAAAATTTACAAACTACTAATGTGCACAACATAAATGGAACTCAAATGAATTATGCTAAGTGAAAGAAATCAGATAGAAAAAGCTACATACTGTATGATTCAATTTACATGATATAGTAGAAAAGGCAGAATTACAGGCATAAATAACAGATTATGTACATCTGTGTTCAGAAGTACCCTGTGCTTGTGTCTATCATCTAACATACCACTGTGTTGTACTCATCAATTAACTGTGTTCCTTATTAACCTATTACCCTAGGCCTAGAGCTTAGCACAGTGGTTGGCATATGGTCAGCCCTCAATAAATTCTATGCTTGCAGTACTGCCCTGTCTTAAGCCATGCACTTAGAGAATACTTCTGGCTTTCTTCCAGGCACTTTCCTCTGCAAAGTCTGAGTAATCTGTGGGGCCAAGGGGGATATACTTACCCAAAGCCTAGTTCCCTCTTCTAGAGTCTGGACCATTTTCAGGGTACCCTTGGAATTTATTGACCAAATGATACCAGGGCCTGCATGAGCCTTTCTGAGCTTTCTCCTAAGGGCAGACTCAGCTGCTAACGTAAGCAACCTTAGACCTGAAAGGTGGCCAAGGCACGGCTGTTTGCAAGGGTATGGGCAAAATTTGGATTTGGTTCGGCATATCCACACAGCAATGTAAGTGGGAGCCAGAAACCAGGGAAGAAGAGGAATGGGAAAAGACTGGGAGCCAGTTCTCCCCTACACTACCATATTTTAGCTGTGTTTCCAGGTCTTCTAAGGAGTCAAAGAATTCTGAAAGTATATTTGTCAATGCAGAAGAGAACATATTGTACTTAACAATTTGTTACTTGATTTATAACTTTTAAATATTTAAACATATGGTATGTGGGTCTCCATTTGTACCCCAGGCCTGCAAATGTTATGGGCAGGCCTGACCAACGGAATAAAGATTATAAAAACAGTTGACCTGACCTTGTGGTTTTCGGGGGTACATTTTATCAATTTACTGCTACGGAATGGGTGGAGCCCCATATCTTCAAGCCTCACAGAACAAATGTTCAGTGGTGCAATTTCATAGTAATCTATTTTTGCCTCTACTTTGTTCATGATGACCCTTTTAGGATTTCCTTAGATAACAATCTTCTTTCAGTTGTGGAGGCTCAGAAACAGTACCCCAAAATGAAGCCCTCGGAAGCAGCCTCACAAGCAAAAGTTTTTCTCTCACCTTCTCCTGCCCTCCTGTCTCTCAGTCCCATTCTTCCCCAAGGGTAGCTATAGAAATTAGTATCCCTCTTCCTCAAGGTGGGGCATAAAAACCAGAATCCCTTTTCTCAGAAGCCAGCCATAAAACTTAAAAATATGTGTGTAAAAACTGGCCATAAAGAAATGATCTGACCTACAGTGTTTAACTGTAGGTCACGGACCCCATTCCAAAGAGGGCCCTGCCCCACATCAGAAGGAAGGAATGCAGCTCAGAAAGGCCAAGAAGAATCTGGACAGACAGGCCTTGCTGGGCTTCCCCACTCAGTCTATTTGCATCGGCTCATACCCTTTTTGTCTAGCTGTATTTCTATACAGCTGGCCGTACTTTTTTGAACCTAAACATAAAAATGGACAATTTGCCCTGTGTCTTTGGGTCTTCATATTAAATAGATCTATACGTGTACACATATTAAATAGATCTGTATGCGTTTTCTATTAATCAATATGCCTTATTTCACTGATTTTTTTCAGCGAATTGTAAGGGGGCCAAGGGCCTTGGCTCCTACACAGTGTTCAATGTTCCTAACAGAAAATTCTCTCCCTTACCCGGCCCTCATGCTACGAATACACCACGAGTTGGCTCATCTCTGCCCTAACCATTTCCTTCGCCAGACCTGAAGCTGGTGTAGCTCAAGGGAAACAGAGGCACGGCGCCGGGATACGATTAGGTCCCGCGGTCCCCAGGCAAAGGCTCGGAGGAGTTCTCAGGCTGGTGAGACCATTCGGGATTCCAGCCGGGGTTCCCGGGAACCGGGATCCGCGGGGAGACGCGAGCCGCCCCGGGAACGCCTGAGGCTGGGGACACGGACCCTCAGGCCCTCCTCGAGGAGGCGCCTCAGGTAACGGGGAGTCCTGGCACAACAGGGAAGCAGCAGCACCTGGGGGCGGAATCCGAAATGTTGCTCACCTGGCCTGGCGGCTTGGCGTCGCCTTAGTAACCACCACTTCCGGCTCTGACCGGAAGCCCGAGAGGCCGCTCTTCGGGAGGCGCGCCCGCCCCCGCGGGGGCGGAGTGGCTCGGCCCCTCCCGCAAGGCCGACGCGGGGAGTGACCGACCCTTCCCTAGGGACCCGGCGGCGTCCCAGAGGACCCGCGACTGAGCCCGGCGCGACGCGTGGCCTTGGGCTGGGCGCCATGGACGCCTTCACCCGCTTCACCAACCAGACCCAGGGCCGGGACCGGCTCTTCAGGTGAGTCAGGTGCCGGCGGCCTCCGCCACTTTCTCGCCCTGACTGGGTACTCGGGTCCCTGTTCTCCGTCAGCCCGAGAAGAAGGAGGTGGCAGCCTAGTAGGTGGAAGGAGGAAGGACGCTGCCCGCTGTCGCGGCGGGAGTTCGCTTCCCGAGCTCCTCCCCACCTAAATGCGACCCTTCCTGAGCCCCGCGTGCAGAAGCCCCGGTGCCCGCATCCCATCCGCCGCGAGGCCGCTCCCTGTAACACCAGTGGACAAATCCTCCTCTGCCGACTTTGCTCTACTTGCAGAGAAAGATTGGCTTCTCTCCACTCAACATTCTTCCGGGGAATTTCTTTTAGACCGAAACTTCGGCTTAGCATTCGTGGCTCCAGGCGCAGTTCACTCGGTTGTGGCTTCGAACACGCCTTGCAATGCTTATAGAGAGACAGAAGTTGCATTTATTTTCTTTATCTTCCACTATCGCCCAGTCTATCTCACTGAGATGCTGCGTGTGAAATAGTTTTGTAAACTGTAAAACAAAACACAGTGGGGGAAAAGCAGAAATAACTAACTGCACCTCTAAGGTACATGCTGTGCTACTGAAAATATCAAACTGATTGTGGCTCGAATACTACTACAGTGTTAGTTCATGATGTTTCTTTTAAAGATTTGGTTGATTCTGGCTTAATAATAAAAAAATAGTTACAGTTGCAGTTTTCTTTAACGGCTCTACATTCTCTTCTGGGTGCACAAGTCTAATACAGACTAATAAGAATAGCTCCAATAATGAGACTTTTGGAAGCCAACTTTATGCCAGGTATTGTTCGCAGTGTTTTGCAACTAGTAACTTATTCCCTCATCACAGCCCTATGAGGTGTATACTCTAAATATCCCTCCCATTTCACAGATGGGGAAACTGAAGAAGGAGGAGGTTAATAGGTACTAAGTGGTAGAGTGAAGAGATTCAAATCCACACAGTTGACTCCAGTTCACACCTCTTAACTACTAATCCACACTGCCTTTCTAAGTAATTTGATTTCTACAAGGGTTGCATTATATACAAACTTCATTAAAATAGAAATCTGTAATTCCAGTGTACTCAGAATGTACACTACAGGGTTTATCAAAGATGTTGGTTAATAAAATAATCATTTGGGATATATTTATTCAGCACAATCTGAGATCTCTATCATTCATTTCCTAACCTCCTTGATAATCTATATAACCTCTGTGACCAAAGTGTCATTCATAAAATAATGCCTTGTTTTTGTACTGACTCCTATAAGACCAAATCTGAGAAATAGAAATTCATTGACATGACCAGCCCTCTAGCCAGGAAGTACATTTGAAAAAGAGAGATTATTTATGATCCTTGTCTTCTCTTTTTACTTAATCCCTAACAACAAGTTTCCCATTTGGGAAAATGGGCCACATTTTTATTGAGAATAATATTTATAGCATAAAGGGATTCAAATGCAGTTATAGAACAGTAGGAACCAGACACACACTTTATTAAGTAGGCTGCCAAATGCACTTGGGTGTTTGTGTGATTAAAAGTTTCTCATGTATTTATTAGTAAGTCATTGTTATTTGGAGTCATAACAATAATCACTTCATTGAATATATGTGCACCATTAAACAGGATTCTGCCTGTATTTTATATAAAATACTAATTTTAAAAGACAAATATAAAAACATATCTGTATTAATTTGTGTATTGGTATGTATTGGGTCTTTTTAGTTCATAAAAAAATTAAATGGTATTTAAACTGTGGACTTTTCATTTGGTTTTGGTTTGAGTTTGTGTCCTATCACTTAAGTAGTAGGTTAAGTACATGGTAGAAAAGTTCATTTAAGAAATCTGAGGCCGGGCGTGGTGGCTCACGCCTGTAATCCTAGCACTCTGGGAGGCTGAGGCGGGCGGATTGCTCAAGGTCAGGAGTTCGAAACCAACCTGAGCAAGAGCAAGACCCCGTCTCTACTATAAATAGAAAGAAATTAATTGGCCAACTAATATATATAGAAAAAATTAGCCGGGCATGGTGGCGCATGCCTGTAGTCTCAGCCCAACTAATATATATAGAAAAAATTAGCCGGGCATGGTGGCGCATGCCTGTAGTCTCAGCTACTGGGGAGGCTGAGGCAGGAGGATTGCTTGAGCCCTGGAGTTTGAGGTTGCTGTGAGCTAGGCTGACGCCACGGCACTCACTCTAGACTGGGCAAGAAATTGAGACTCTGTCTCAAAAAAAAAAAAAAAAAAAAAAAAATCTGAAAATCATTCTACACTGGTTGCAGACTTAATGAGAGGGAGATTTTTCTGGTTTCCCACTTTGACTACTTCCATTCTCTGTGCCAGCAAAAGGCCTTTAGGGGGGCTGTTCACCGCATTATTGCAGGTCTCTTTCATTACTTTGTGTTGCATTTTCATCATGCGTTCTACCCTTTGGCTCTCCTATGGAATGACTATTGCAGAATTTTGCTCTTGTAAGAGCTGCTGAATGAGAAATTGTCTTGAACATTTTGCCGTTAGCAAAATATGTTTCTCTTTACTTCATGAATTAAGTTTTATTTGGTTTGTAAATCATTCTCCTCATTTTTTTTTTCCATTTCAGAGCCACTCAATACACATGCATGTTGCTTAGATATTTGTTAGAGCCTAAAGCTGGCAAAGAGAAGGTGGTAATGAAGCTCAAGAAACTGGAGTCCAGTGTGAGCACTGGCCGTAAATGTAAGTACCCTGTTTCTTGAGGGGCAGCAGCTCCTGGTTTAGAATCTTCAGCCTCAGACCCTGTAATTCACAAAAAGCTTTCTAAGTCATTAATTTCTAGTCAGTCAAGTTTATTGATGAAGTTGACCAGTAAGGCTGACCTCATGGCACAACAGCTCCAAAAGTTTGAATGTGCTGCTGAAACAGTTCACAAACACCCTCCTGTGTTCACATTTGGTGCTAACTCCGTATCTTTCTGCTTAATCATAACCAGTAGGACATTCAGTGTGTTAGCTCACCCTTAGTTCTTACAATCACAAAATGTTTTGGCAATCCCCGACATGAGTTTCAGGCTCCTTTTAGTCCTTTTGTTCTTTTTTTTTTTTTTTAATTTTGTTGTTGTTGTTGTGGTGGTGGTTTTTTTTTTTTTCCGGCATATTATGGGGGTACAGATTTTAAGGTTTCAATAAATGCCCATTTCCCCCCTCCCCCCACAAGTCTGAGTCTCCATCATGACCAAGTCCTTTTGTTCTTTATAAAAACAGAATAGCTATATCCTGGACCACTTGCCATTTTCCCTTGTTCTCTTGAAGCTTATTAGAGGATATGTTTGGATACATTTTATTAGACTATTTGTGGGGTGGTTTCATGTGAAAGGCAAAAAGTAAAGTCATTGTTTGGAGTTCATTTAATTCACTTTAATAATCATACTAGAAAATCCTATACTTCTCTTAGCAGTTGCATGCCTGACTCCTCTTTGTTTGATGAAAACCTGATGTTGCTATAATAGGTTACCAGAGGCATTAGAGTGGAATGTAGAACATTATGTATTGATCAGTTGTTTTTGAGCACCTACTTCATATAGGTACAGACCTGAGCCTTATGGGAGAAATAAGATATTGTAAATAATAATACAAAATTTAGTACCAAATTTTTTGGCTGGGGTAGAGGAAATAAAAGGTGTTTTGGAGGAAATGGGACTTAAGGTGTGGCTAGAGGGGAAAAAAAGGAGAGAGTTCTAGAAGGGCAATTTCCTAGAATTAAGGCTCAGAACTATTATGAGCAAACCATTGTATTGGAGGATCAGTGTCAAACTAGAGAATTAATTTGACAGAGAGAAAACTTAAGTTTTCAAGCAGAGGTATGGGACGGGTGCGGTGAGCTTTTCTCGATGACTGTGAAGGCCAAGATTAGAAATTCTTAGATTCTTTAGAATGTTGGTGCTGAACGGCCCTTTATAGGTCCCTAGTCTTTGAAGTCCAGAAAGGGCTTATCCAAGGTCATCCAGCCATTTAGTGCAAGAGCCAGGATTGGAACCTAGAATCCATGTATCGTAACAGCTATTACATGTGCTTTTTTATGTTTTCTGGTAAAATAATACCAAACATTCTTTTGAGATTATAAATTTTCTGAGAGTAGCTACTTCTGAGCACTTACTGAGTCTGAGGAAGGGTCCTTTAAGGAAAAGTATATCTTTTGTATCCTCCATAATGTTTAGGATGATAACTCTTTCTCAGTAGGTCCTCAAAAAGTACTTGTTGATTGATGCATCCCTGATTAATTGAATTACATGCTTACATAGGGACGTGCCATTGCAATGGTTGATTTAATTCAACTAGGGGCTACATGTGACAATATTATTGATTGTCCTTTCCACTAAATCCTACCATCTCTACTTTTTTCTTGAGAGTAGGTAGCCAAAATGGTTTGCACCAGAGAAATGGCAAAATGACAATGGTGTTTTTTTTAAAAGGCAAGGAAAGTAAATCAAATGTAAGGCATCAAACTCTTCAAGAGAATGTTAAATCTGGAATTCATATCATAGTACCTTCCTTCTCAAGAAGTGTATCTGGTAATACTCAAACGTGACAATCTACACGCATGATTGACCTTGCCTGGAGTATGCTGTAAATCAGTGTTAAGGTGTTCACTGGAATGCAGGAGGTAAATTTAAAGAGTCACTGTCTTTTTTGCCTTCTAGGATCATTTTAGGTGTCCTTAACA